TTTTCTGCCAAGTATCAATCATCCTTCGTAATTAATTATAAAAGAACTTACTTGGCCAATTCAACATGGGTACTTCTTATATTTTAGTTTTAATATATATATATATGTTACTGTGAAGCACTGAAGTCTGACTTTATGCTTATGTTCTTCCCAATATATATCTTGAAGGTACGTGGGGTTTCAGTTTCTTGAAGGACAAGCCTCATGGGTGGGTGAATCAATTCCACGTGAGCATTTTATCCCTTTCTTCATCATCCTTGTTACTTTTTTCTCATGTAAAACATGTGCAGTTGACTAGTTAATAATTACTCATCCGAACACAAAGTTGACTGGATTATAAGAACTCAATTTAGTATTAAGGGTCTGTTTCTTGTTTTGGGAATTATGAGAAATCTTCATAATACTCATTATTTTACTGCTTAATGAACCTTTGATACTTAATAAAGGCACCACTATTGCGTCTGCCTCCACCACCATACCGTTTCTCTCCCATTGTACTTCTGCCACTTAATTGTCTGTTGCTCTGATGCTAGTATTATTTTGCTAGTGTGTGAGCAATCTCAATTACCATGATCACTACCATTTCCCAAGATCTATGCACCATTCTATCACTGTGTATTCCTATGTCGTGCACATATTTTTTTCCCAATGCATCCCAGTACAGTTGACTCTGACAAGACTTTGTTTCTATTCATAAAATGCATACTTCACAAGAAAGTTTGTCCTAGATGTTGATAGTGATTTGTCAGCGCTTCAAACCATGCATAGAGTGGTAACTAGTACCCTTTACCAAATATTGTTGGAAAGGGCATCAATTTTCCAAACATGTGTTTGTGCCTCATTTTTCACATACTAAATCTCTTGCATAGTCATGATTCTTTATTCTCTTAAAACCCTTGATAGGGTCCCAGTCAACAGATATGAAGAAAACATGGAGTACTAAAGAATTGGGTGACTCATTGAAGGTATGAATCTTTTTGTGATGTTTATTTTTGACTTAGGGCAATGCTAGTGACCCAGTTAGTCAGGCAAGGTTCCGAGTATGAAAATTTAGTCAAAATAGTGATGGGTTTAAGCTGAATATTATTCTGTGTTTAGAGTGCCTGCCGCTAATGCTGCACATGTTTAACCTTCTCACTGTTAGAAGTCAGGGTTCTGTTGTACTATCTAGGTAACTTTCATGTGCTGTGTATGATCTTGACCGTTTGTGCTGAGCTTGGGTTGTTTTGCTTCTAATATTTCTTGTAGCCAATGCCTGCTTGCATTAGTGGAATGCCAGGTCAAGCTTGTTATTAATGAGCATATAAATGCGTCTTTGGTGAAAATCAAAATGTATGAAGTGATGAATTTTGAATTTAACATATTGTTGTTGATAGACTTTTTCAGAAAACAACAGAAATCTTTGAATTCACAACATTGCTTTATGTCTTATTCCTAACATATGGCTATTACTGTATGGGACATTGGTTTCTTACTTGCTTTCATTTAATAGGATGTGCCATGGAAGGAATTTTTCCGAAATCAAGCTGTATGGGCAATGATATATGCTCATTTTTGTGGAAGTTGGGGTCATTATACTAAATCTCTTGCATAGTCATGATTCTTTATTCTCTTAAAACCCTTGATAGGGTCCCAGTCAACAGATATGAAGAAAACATGGAGTACTAAAGAATTGGGTGACTCATTGAAGGTATGAATCTTTTTGTGATGTTTATTTTTGACTTAGGGCAATGCTAGTGACCCAGTTAGTCAGGCAAGGTTCCGAGTATGAAAATTTAGTCAAAATAGTGATGGGTTTAAGCTGAATATTATTCAGTGTTTAGAGTGCCTGCCGCTAATGCTGCACATGTTTAACCTTCTCACTGTTAGAAGTCAGTGTTCTGTTGTACTATCTAGGTAACTTTCATGTGCTGTGTATGATCTTGACCGTTTGTGCTGAGCTTGGGTTGTTTTGCTTCTAATATTTCTTGTAGCCAATGCCTGCTTGCATTAGTGGAATGCCAGGTCAAGCTTGTTATTAATGAGCATATAAATGCGTCTTTGGTGAAAATCAAAATGTATGAAGTGATGAATTTTGAATTTAACATATTGTTGTTGATAGACTTTTTCAGAAAACAACAGAAATCTTTGAATTCACAACATTGCTTTATGTCTTATTCCTAACATATGGCTATTACTGTATGGGACATTGGTTTCTTACTTGCTTTCATTTAATAGGATGTGCCATGGAAGGAATTTTTCCGAAATCAAGCTGTATGGGCAATGATATATGCTCATTTTTGTGGAAGTTGGGGTCATTATACTTGCCTAGCATGGCTTCCCACCTATTTCAGGTAATTTGTGCAGACGTTTAACTGTGTTCAAATAGTTATAGGTATGATTTTCCTTTTTCATGAATTTAACTCTTTAATATTCCAGACCTTTGTGATTATTTGGGAGAGTTGAAAACTATTTTGAGCAACTATTTTGTAGCTGCGTCATAACTTCTCTTTTTCTTTTCTTTTTTCCCATTGAACTGTAACTTTCATATGTACAAGGTATACGGATTTAAATTTTGTGTATTCATGTTATCGTGAAAAAGCTAAAATTTCAATTAACTTGCTATGCAGTGAGGAGCTGAACCTGAATTTGACAGAAGCTGCGTGGGTAAGTCTAAAAAGTACACCACTTTTTGATTCGTAGCAACTCAAGAAAGAATTAGTAATGCTTCCCATATTGTGTCATACACTTCGATTTCGCTTATAAGAGGTGTCACCTCAATCTATTAGCCAGTAAATTTCCATAGTTTATTCACTTGGGTGTTTGTTTTAGCATGGTAACTTGAGAGTTCTATCCACTGTTGTCAAATAGAAAAAATAATGAAAAAATGGAATTATTAGAAAGAAAAGACAATGGGAATGACAATCATTAGTATATACATCATAAGCATTAAGTTTCCACGTAAGGTATTATCTATTTAGAAATATCATCTACCTCTCTGTGACTGAAGGCGCACCAAGATTCAGTTGTATGATAGCAAGGGCTTTATGTTTGTTTCAGGTCTCTATCCTTCCCCCATTGGCTTCAATCTTTGTGACGAGCATTGCCTCGCAATTTGCTGATAACTTGATTTCTAGTGGAGTTCAAACCACTACGGTACGATGATATTATAAACCACTACTTTGTTGTATATAATGGTATCAGAAAAAGTCCAATTTAGTGGAAAAATTTTGGGTTTGTACTTAAAGACAAAAATTCCTCAACAGAGAAGTTAGTGGATGTGTTTTCTTTTGGTTGTTTATTTAATTGCTATTTTACATGTGAAATACATGACAAGCTTACTGCTTCCATTATCATGCCATGACTTGCTATTAACTGAAATTTTATTCAAGATAATGTTTGCACTGAGTTTCATTCTTAATGTTTCTGGTGACCTTGTTTTCTACATGTAGGTCCGAAAAATTTGCCAAACAATTGCCTTTTTATCTCCTGCAGCTTGCATGACTCTTTCCTCTCTTGATCTAGGATTGCCCCATTGGGAAGTTGTGGGGATTCTAACTGGTGGTTTAGCCCTCTCAAGCTTTGCCTTGTCAGGTACAGAACAATCCAAACTGAGGCTTGATTCTGGAGGAGGGTGATTAGAATCATTTTAATCTCCTACAGTTTAAACTCTTAATACAATCATCAAACGTGCAGGATTGTATTGTACCCATCAAGACATGTCACCCGAATATGCAAGCATACTTCTGGTATGTAAATCTACAAGCACTTAAGTTTTTATTTGCGTGCTGGAAGATGCTACGAAACATCCTATTTTCCGAAGTAGGCATGATAGATATTTTTTATTTTAGGATTAGTAGAGATGTGCATCTTCATTTTGGTGTGAAAAGTGGGTGGTGCAAGTTTGTATTTTTTTCATCTTAGACATGCATGGTTGTGTTCAGTGGTCCGACTCATTTTCATTTTAGTGTGAAAGGTGGGTGGTGGAAGTTTGTCTTTTTCATCGTAAAATTTACTCGTGAGTCTTGAACTAAAAGCTGTATACAATGCATCTACTTTTAACTTGGGATATGTGGGATGTCATTAAAAACTATGTGTAGGCATTTTCTTGAAAATCAAACTAAATGTACCCATATTTCTTAAAATTCAATTGTAAATATTTTCCACACAGGGTATTACCAACACTGTTGGGGCCGTACCTGGAATAATAGGTGTTGCCCTCACTGGCTATCTTCTTGATTCAACTCATTCGTGGAGTGTAAGTAGCCTCTGTCATTACTTGTTTACCTTTTGTCACTATCCATAGCTTACATCCTTCATTTGTTTACCTTCATGATGTTTATGTCTTAATACTCTTCCGCATTATGCAGATTTCATTGTTCATTCCATCGATATTTTTCTACCTGACTGGTACAGTAATTTGGTTGGTGTTTGCCAGCAGTAAGCCTCAAACCTTTTCAAAGACAGACTGACCTTTTTGTAGTTTGGTGGTCTTCTTTTATCTTATCTTCTCTCTTGAATGAAGCTTCCAAATTGAGGGAATCTTCATTCAATGTATCACTAGTTTCATCTGTGGGAGGAAATTAACTTGGTATTCCCCATTTGGTTCATTCCATACGTCTAGAAGGAAAGCTATACATGTATGTAATCTTCCTTGTAATACAATTTTTTTTTTGTAATCAGATAAATTGTACAGCCGTTTAAGGTGTCACAACTTCACATCGTATAATATGTTTCGAAAGGTCAAAAGTTTGTCGTACCCATATCACCATTTGTACATTTTTTTCCTAGAAGTATCCTGAAGTCTCCCTCTCCAAAAGCATACTCAGGATAGTTTTTCTGAGCGTTCTTTTTAGTCTTTCTGGGCTGAAGGGTAGAGAGAATTTGGCATTTTCAACCTTATTTAAAGTTTTCAAGCTTAAAGTTTCCTCACAGAAAGAATGCAGGCAAGTATTCTTTGCTGAATTCCTGAGATGTTCTGTCCTCATTTGGAAAAAAGAAATAAAATAAAAGGTGGATGATGAAATTGAATTGTACTCTCCTCTACCTCTTATTTAAGGAATCAAGCACTATATGATACCAGTTAGAGCACATATAGCACTGCCTACCTGCAAGCAGGCAGAACAACATATGGTATGTGAGCAAATACAATTGAAGATGGACCAACCAAAATTGGTTCTGATGAATTTACATATACAGGGTCTAAGTTAGGTATGATCCCAGATGAATTTAAGGTCAAAGCATTTCCATTTAGCAGCATGGTTTGGCTTTGTAAATTTCCATCCTTTGCTGTTAGATGGTATTCTTCTCTTACTGTTTCACTTCTCAAACCCTGATGGAACTTCAGGTGTGCTCTATGAGACTTGTGAGATTTGTGTTTATGTCGCAAAGTCCAGGAATTGTTGAAGGCAACTCTTGCCTCCACCGTCGTCGTGTTTTGTAGGTTGATCAATAGTACTGTAATCCCTTTCTGCAGCCCAAAATTGTGATCAGCTCAGTAAACGAAGAATGTTTGAATGTTGTCTTTCTTTATATGCAAGTTGTGGCATAAATAGACTTACAGATTGTTTTGCACAGTGTGCGTAAGCACGTATCTTTTTCGGTCCAGAAAAGCTGGTTGCCAGTACATTTCTTCCCATTAATCGGTGCCAAAGAAGAGCACTGGTATGGAGAAAGCCAGGATAAAGCAGCAGAAGTGTTAAAATACTGTCTAATATTTGAGAATTTAGCTTCTAAGGTAAGTATGATCGGTATGTATGTAGTGACCTACCTGTAGTAGTCTGGATTGGGTTCGTAGGTAGTGGTGTTGAGTAAACCATAGTTTCCACCAATCAATGTCTGTCTGCAGTACGTTTTGGTATCATAAGCTGCTGACATAGCAAGCTGATCTAAATACCTGTTTGTAACATCCAAGATATGATTCTTGTTAGAAATTGAAGAAGAGAGGAGAGGACCAAAGAAGATGCTCATGAGTTGTCATAGCCAAGTTACCAGAAACTAAATACAAATGAATTGCTGACAAGATGACGGCCACTGTTGTAAGCACCTCCTGCCTCCCCAACCCATGCAGCTGCTGAAGTTGCAGAACTCTTTAGGATGTTACGGAGGTCGCTAAATGTGCTAGCAATACCGTCGAGATAGGATGGATCAAGAATCTTTTCAATAAGGTGTTGATCAACCCCTGAGAACACAGAATGAAGATTTCTTTTATCAGTATGAAGTTGCGAATTCAAAAGGAAAAAGTAGAAACTTTCAAAATCTGTTTGTTCAATCGATGATACCTGGCCCTAGATTATATATATGGTGGGTGACCACGTCCAAGGATGTGGTTGTTTTATCTGTATAGTCTTTGAACCACTTTGCATCAAAGAATCCTCCAGGTGATAGGATTAGTGGCTTTGGTTCAACACCCTTGTATATATCGTGTATTATCTTTTGCAGAGAAGCTGTATCAGAGACGTATTGACTCGCTCCGATTGTTGTTCCAATTCCATGTCCACACAATTCATTCCCTGAACACCATTGAAATGCATTCAGTTTGTCTAGATAAGCAGGGTCAAAATTTATAACGACAATAAAATTTTCAGTGTTGTTATCTTACCAAGCTCCCAACCATGTACTGTGTAGTTCTTTTTAACACTGTAACGGATGAAAGACTCAGAATTTTTGTAGTCCCAAGCTCCAGTTGCAGTACCATTAGAATGTATTGTTCGTCCAGTGAGAGCATTTAATCCAAAGATAATCTTGGCCCTGGAGAGAGCGTACATGTGATAATGTTAGGTGCTCTTCAATCTGAAGAAAATCTAAAAGTTAAATGAAGAAGAAAAAAGAAGAGATTATATTTACCCAGATTTCTGAAAAAAGGAGTTTAATTCATCCCATCTGTTCATGGGCAAGCACCCCGGAGTAAAACCAAACATCTCTGTGGTGCTTTTTTGAAAAGGAACACAGCGTTGCTTATTGTCTGGTGTAGCATATATGACCTTATCTTGCAAGGTACCCCCCAATCTAAGTTTCAAGGGTGAGAAAGCTGCAAAATCAGCACAAGTAAGTAAGTTTTACGCTCTTATTTATTATACATGTATTGAATCGAAACAATCAGATATCAAGGAAGGAATTCTTACCCTTCACAGCATTTAATAAGATACTGCTGCTTAGATTCTGCACAATAATGATCAAATAAACATCAGAAAGCATTTTCTACAAAGAAAGTATCAATTTATTTCAATACAACAGTATTGAGAAAAAGAGAGACAGAGAGAGAGAGAGAGAGAATACAAATCTCAAAAACATAAAAAGGATTTTTGATTTCAGAGTATTTGCAACTGGGAAACATACCAATGACAGACAAATCTCAAAAACATATAAGCATCTGAAAGTGGAAAAGGAAAATAGAAAGAACAAATGTACGTATGTTAGATTCTAGAGAGAAACATTAATGTATATATGTATACCAGATTGAGGAAAGAAGCACGACCCCAGCTGCATGTCCCATAGTCACATTTCTCAGGAGGCCACCAATCCAAAGTTGCACAAATAAAATCATCATCAATTTTACCAATGGCATCTTTGCCACTAACGTGGACAGTGCCTTCAATACTTCCTCCTCCGAAGCCCTGTGAATTTACAGAATGAATGAAGCTGAAAGCAGAGAAACAGACCCAGAAACACAACCCCATTTGCCAGAAATGAGAACCCATTTTCCAGAATCAACCAGTTCATACACAAAAGGGGTTAATGTGCAAGATCTCAGTCTCTCTCTCTCTCTCTCTCTCTGTGTTTGTATCTATATATAAATGGGTGAGGAACCCATGAAAAGTGAAGAGCTGAGATTACTGCAGAGTTTCTGTTTGGCCTTCGGACGCAAATGGCCAGAATGGGTGGGGGGAGGTGTTGTAAGTAATAATAATAATAACAAGTGAATGAGATAATAATAATAAGATCATTCAAACAACAGTTAAAAGAGAAATTTATTTGCTATAATTATGTACGTGTACAAACAAACGGAGACTACATATAGAAAGAAAAAGAAGAAAGAAAAAAAAAACACACACGTGATACTTGGACGTCAGAAATGAACATGGGTCCTTTCCTCTTTGACCATGGCCTATGCCTACGGAGCTATTATAACATTATTGTTATCATCTAATCCATCATTAAGTTTTGTTTTTAGATAAAGCATAAAAATAAAGCATGGAATTGCCACTTGCAAGTGGGCCGTGGGTTTGCTTTCCACAATGGCAAGTTGGCAACTGCAAGCAAAGATTGGCTGGCCAGTCGGTCGGATAAATCAGAAAAAGATTGCCGTGTTTGACAGAAACCCACTTGGTCTCTTGGTTTTGGAATCTTAACGCGCACTTCGCTCCCACTGTCGTAAAAATGTAGTTTGACAACATAGTATCGTATTCGTATGCATGTCTGAATGTCTGAATGTCTGTCCCGGAAAAAAATATACAGTTATTTATACCAAAAAGGAAAAGAAAAAAAAAAACACTGTGCACAATTTTATGAAAAGATTCACAACAATTATGCCCTTGCGCAATATCAGGGCGAGTTGTATTAAAATACGATTTATGATTATTTAATTTCTCACCCCTTTAACTTTCATCTTTTTTTTCCTTTTGCTCCTTATGTTTTTCAATCAATTACCGAATCGCAGCATTGAATTACGACGACAACACAAAATGAGATAAGGTATTTTGTTGGGTAAGCAAAACATGAGAATCGAAGATGTTACAGGCTACCAAGTACCAAAGAGTTTGTTGAGTCAATCAAATCAAAGTGTCAATATGAATGTGCATGGGATGGTCCAAGTTCAACCATTTGTTTGGTCATTGAGTATAAAATAAGACTCCCACATAACCCCTTACCTCCTTCATATTTTTAACATGTTAATTAATTAATAAGCATATTCTTCCTTTCTTACCCTCGTTTCGTTAATGTCAATGGGATCAGGTGAGTTTCTTCACCCAAAACAGAACCACCAAACCTAATCCATTGGATGGTATATCAGATTTTGTGGACTTTTTTTTAAACATTATTCCCTTTTTTTCTTATTTGGAATTGAATCTTTCATCTGCTGACAACTAGTCTACATCATCACTGTCATTCCATATTGGATTGTTTTTAAATTAAGCAAAAGATCAGATCATATTATTATTTTGTAAACTTTATGTGAATAAGCAAATCTCTTTTATTTTCGGCGAATCATTATTTCCTTGACAAAAAAGAAAAGTTTTTGTGTATAAGTGAGTTAGCGATGAGGACCATTATCTCAAGTCCCTATCATGACTATGTGCTCTCTCTCTTTTTCTTTCCTTTAACTCATTAAGGAAAGAGAATATCATCAAAATCCTCTCCAAGGAAAGGTCCTTATCACTGCAGGCTAGCTAGTCTCACCCAAAATCATCAGGCAAGACAAAATGGGGGTCCAAAAACAAAATATGGGGTTGTTTTAACATGTGATTAGGTTGATCATGATGAACACCACCTTCTAAATGTATGATCCGTCCAAATGCTTGTCTTTCATGCATGATGCGTGTTCTGTTTTGAAATTGGAATATTATCAATGTTATGAAGCAAGCAATTACGAATGCATATGCCAAACAGCATAAAGTGGCCTGATCCGAAGTTGGTTCGATCGTCTGAGTAAAGGAAAGAACAAATAAAAGATAAGTTTAGTTAAGAATTTCTTGATTATATGCCAACTCTAGATCTCTTTCCAGCTGCAATACTACTAGCTGCTGCATGTTCTTGTTCAGCAATGGAGGGAATTAAGTGGAAACACAACTTCATTGGGCCTGCTACAATTTCATAATCATTGACTGCTGCAAAAGCAAACCTATTCTATACATTGTTAGGGCGGTCTTGTAGCTAAAGTCTTCACAGAGAAGCACCAACCAGTAAGGATGGGGTACTGTAAGTAAAACCCCGACTCTATATAGAGCATAATTTTCTCACACTTTTGGGTTAGCAAGATAATATCCGAAAGAAATTTGAATGGAGTTAACGGCAAGGGGGAAATTGACTATTTATATATAATTTGTGTCTTTAATTTTCCAAATAAATAGTTTAAGTTGTGAATTCTCAATGGAGGAAATAGGGCAGTTTATTATATTATACAATAGATACATAGGTGGTAAGTATATGTCCAATTGCTCCTCTAATTTTCTTTCCGAAAGTCAGCCAAGTCCAATCTCTCGGCATCCCCAGGCCCAGCCCATCTGAAGTAAAGTCAACCGAGTCCAAGCCCAAAAAGCAGACACCAGGCCTAACCCAAAGCATGATTGATGGGCCATAAGACCCATTGACTCATAAGTCAAACTCAAAACGTATAAGATGCGTTCGTCCAGTGGATATCTAAGCTGTTGAAATTGCCGAAATGCTGAGACGAAAACCGACCAAGATCCAACTCAAAATCGAAGACAAAGCTCGCAAGCGCTCCGCCTCCGCCTCCGCCTCCACTACCACCGCGGCTACTGCTCTCCTCCACCACCTCGACCGCCCTAAAGACCCCTCCTCCAAAACGCACCGCATCGGCCTCCCTTCTAATTGAAAGTTACGCACCCCAAACACCAAAATATAACTCGCCGTATTATGTCTCACATTCTCAAACCTCTAATGGAGGTTGAGGTCAAGCTTAGGCTCCCAGACGCCGCCGCCCACCGCCAAGTCACCACCCTACTCGCGCCGTTCCACGTCAGCACACACCGGCAAGAGAATCTCTTCTTCGACGGCTCCAAAGCCGAGCTCTCGGCGCGCCGAGCCGTCCTCCGCCTCCGCTTCTCGGACCGAGCCCCTCTGTGCGCCGTGACCCTCAAGGCGCGAGCCGTATTGGTCGACGGCGTCAGCCGAGTCGAGGAGGACGAGGATCGGCCGAGCCTGCGCTGACCAGCCGGATAAGCTGATGTCGGCGGAGTCTAGGGTTTTGACTAGGGTAAGAGAGGAATTTGGGGTTTTGGGGTTTGTGGGGTTGGGAGGGTTCAGGAATGTGAGGGATGTGTATGATTGGAAAGGCTTGAAATTAGAGGTGGATGAGACGAAGTATGAGTTTGGTACTTGTTATGAGATTGAGTGTGAGAGTGCTGACCCTGAAGGGGTCAAGGAGCTGCTTGAGGGCTTCTTGAAGGAAAATGGGGTTCAGTATTCCTATTCGGAAACGTCAAAGTTTGCGATTTTTCGAGCTGGCAAGCTGCCCCTTAGTGAGTGAATGTGGTAAGTTTTGCGATAGAGTGTTTGGATTTTTGTTTCTCTATGGAATGTTTTTTTTATGTGATCGTACAATGAGGGCTTTTGAGGATTTTGATCGCATCAAAAATCAGTTTCTGCTTTTTTATTTACTTTGTGGTAGAATTATGTGTTTGGATGTTTTATTGTTGTCATGGAATGTTTCTTTTCAAGTGATTTGGAAATGCGGGGCATAAGAGAATTTGGATTGCCTTCACTTTTGATTTTATTCTTGTTGGGCGAACTCTGTTAATTTGGATTATGTTGCAGTGTTTTCTTTGATGGATTTGGTTTTTTTCGTTTGCTTGTTTCATTGTCAGATTGGTTTAGAATTGATGTAGTTGCATTTACGATGAAAAAGTTTTGAGGTGATTTTCCTAGTTGTATATCCCATATGACTGAATAAGCATACTTTCAGCTCTTTAAAATGCTGCTATGGCCTTGTGAGAAGATTTCATATCTTGTTGCTTTTTCCTTGTTTTCAGTTTTACGACAAGAATGATCCTTTAATGTTGAGTTTTTAAGATTATTTCAAACAAGAAGAGAGGTGACCGTGTTACTTGGTTTATACTTCTGCGTCATCAGTCAGGCCTTTGCCAAGTCTTCATTTGCACCCTTGAACCCAGTTATTGATTCTATAATTGTCATTAAAATCATCATCACCTTTGATCATTGTCGTTTACTTGATCCAAATAAGTTTTTTTTTCCTTCTGGTTTATAGCCATTTGTTTAAGTTTCTCAGTTTGATTCATGAGTCATCATTCATCTCATTTATAGCTCGGTTAACCTTCTTTGGTTTTATATGTGTTTAGTTCCTCCTCAGTAGTTCCACTTTTGTCATTTGGTTGGTCAGTGTGCAGTTTTTGGCATCCTCAAATATATCTAATGAACAGATTTTGTTGCCATTGTCATTATTACGGTGTGTTTCTCATTCATGGCATTGCAACCATGTTCTGTCTCTTTTAAGCTTAAAAATTTGATGGTTGAATGCAAATTCGTGTTGAAATGAAAAGCAATAATTCCATATTACCTTACCGTCCTATGTGGTTGTTGAAGGAGCACAATTGGAGCCTTTACAAAGTGGGAGAAATGCTGTGATGAAGGAAGCAAGGATGAAAGTCAGAATCCCTCGAGACCAGTGATTTCTTCTTCTTCTCCAATCCAAGCTTTGTAGTTTCTCATTTTATTCTCGTAAAACTCCGTTAATTTCTTTAATTCCCGTTGTTTGTAATGAATTGCAATAATGTCATATTATATTTTACCATATGACTGAAAGTGCTTCTGTTTGTTCATTGAAAATGGGAGGCCCCATGCCTCAACTCAACGCTTTTGTTTTTTTCTTGATATCATGGGGCACAGTTTCAACGAAAAGGAAAATGGGTACGAACAGATGCGGGATTAGTTCATAACTTGAAAGGTTTGGTTGGAAAACGCAAGGGCGAGATCACCCATCACATTCACATCCATGATCTTAACCATCTTTCAATTGAAATCGTGCCCTTGTGTTCTTATCTTACCAAGCTCCCAACCATGTACTGTGTAGTTCTTTCCGAGATAACACAAGAAGAACCAAAACAGTTGGGTTCTAGGCATCATATCAAATTAAACCTGAAGATTCCCAACTTCATATAAATTGATCCGTCCATGTGAACATAACTCATTAGAAAAATAGCTGTTTAACACAACATACGAAGATTCTCTCAATACTACATCAAACAGGTATACCATAGATAATCAATAACACTAGAGGTTCATTCAGAACGATGATTGTAAATTCTACCCTGACCAAACTGACAAGCTAAATTCTGCCTCACTACTCCATAACACTCCTGCACGAAATCGGAAGGAACACAAGGGCAAAGGATAAGGACTCCTATTCTCACTTCCGCCTTTTTGCAGGTGGCTGTGGAACCTCTTCCTCTTCATCCTCATCTTCTTCCTCTCCATCCTCATCTTCATCATCATCACCATCGTCATCTTCGTCGTCATCATCCTCATCATCATCATCGCTTCCTCCATTGCCATTGGCTTCAGGATCATCCTCAGGATCCCCCCCTTCATCTTCCCCTTCTTCACCTGAGAAGTCCTCGTCTCCTCCCTCCTCATCATCCTGGTCATTCACATCATCATCATCTTCGTCGTCGTCTTCGTCATCCTCTGTATCGCTAGCATCTTTGTTTTCCGCACAAGGTTTTTTCAATTTGAGAAGTTCTTCAAAAGGAAACCTGCAGACGGAAGCAAAACTCACCCACTTAATTGAATGTTACCTAAAAAACCAATAGTGCAAGTACTGGATGAGCACAATTAGAACTTTATTACCTTCTTCCAGTGACAGCAGTCAATTTTGATGCCATATTGATATCATTTATCACCGACCCAGTCTGAAACAACGTTAACTAGTGTTGGTGAACAGAGTATACAAAGAGACAACGTAACAAATAAGACAGTTCATTCCTTTTCATATTTAATCCAATAGAGACCCAATCCCAACAAGAGAGGCTTCCAAATACATTTCAGTTAGGGATACAAGAGAGTATAAAGTAAAATTTCATTAGTTGCTCTCAACAAAATATATACCATACAGAGCCCTGTCGATGAAAATGGAATCCAAAAGGGCATTTAACATACAGCCGATAATGCTGCAGACAACGGCCAGCAACGCAAAACAAGTTCTCAAAATATACTTTATAACTTATCAACAATACCAAATCTGGTCGACAACAAAATTAAAACCCCCCAACACAAGGCCTACATCACTCAATAAAGTGATAAATGAAACAAACTTTAGCCACATGCTCAGTACTAAAACTACCAAATATTCTGTCAATGCAAAATCCGATGCTACAGCCCACCCACAATTACATTTTACACGATATGAAGGACGGAGAGTGCTCATTTGTTATCTTAGAAGCAGAAATGGCAACACCATATCTGCAATGTCTGTGCAAATTTCTTTGCTGCAATCTTCTGTTCTCATGCAGGGTTCTATTATGTCCTTTTTGTTACCTACAGCTCTAAGATTAAAAGAAGGAAAATGAATTATGGCCACTCAACGTATTAATGCAACCACAGAAAATCGCATAGTTTATGAACTTAAAGAAACCAGGGCACATGGAAAAGATTAAGAAAGGTATTGTATGCTCAAAAAACTATCAACCAAGAGCATTAGGACCTCTAAAGAAAACGTCAAGAAATTTGTAACCATCAGTTGTACATCAAAGCATTTGAATATAGTATCTACACAGGTTTTTAAACAAGCAAGAAGAAACCAAAGCCATTTTAACACGATGTTACATTTACGCAAGAATAAAACAAAAGGATTCACAAGAAAACCAACATTTCCTAGCACCTGTATAAATAAGTACAGGCTTCAGAAGAAACAATACTGCATGCCGCACAAACAAAGATTAAAATCATGAAAATTGTCACAAATCAAATTAGAAATCTAAAAAATTCCAACAAGTTCTAGTTCACAAGCAATGAAAGGAAAAATAGCTAGCAGAAAAGGTTAGTACTTCACATTCTACAAACTCTCACAGTAAACGTCCTAACCAAAGCAAGCATTTCTCTCCCCAAACAACCTAATTCACACAAGTGTCAAATTTCAGTCCTTCAACTTATCAAAAATTAATTTTTCAAACTTCAAAACAGTAGTAATAGTAAGACAAAGGCCAACTTCCGAAACATAAATTCAGTAATAAAGAGATGCACGCTATTAAGATTTCAAACTCCAAAAACACAACAAAAGCATGAAACTTTAAAACTTCAATCGATGTCACAATTTGCCACCCAAACTAAATTTGACAGAGAGAGAGAGAGAGAGAGAGATGCTATATACCGCCAAAAGCAGCAGAGCAAGAGAGTTGTGAGCAACAAGAACAGTGTTGACCAGCATTGCTTCCAAAAGAGATCCTTCCCACATGCTCTTTTTCTCAGAGGCGTACAAGCCCATCTTCGTTGCTGCAAAAAGAAGCTCAAAATACACTAAAAAATAGACACACAAAAAATCAGAGCAAAAATTGCACAAAGAGAAAGAGAGTGTGTGCTTGTGTGAGGGAAAGAGGGACAGTGTTTTGAAGGGTTTTCTGGGTTTGGGGCAAAAGGTTTGGTCCAGTTAACTTAGGATGAATGAATCCACTGGGGTTTGGTCCGATTAGGGTTTTTGTCACTGGATTTGCTACTGCCACATTAAACTCTTTGCTTCCACGGCTGATAATATATTTTAATTATGTTGAATAATTGCTGATTAGTATATTATATTGACTCGTTCGGTACTGTGAAGGTCGTGGAAGTAGTGAAAACTGTTGTGGTTATAGTACATTTGTGCGTGTTTTTTTTTCTTTCTCGATTTGACTTTTAAGTTTTGAAGTAATTGGAAAGCTTTCTCTTTGGATCTAGTGTTAGAAACCAAACGTCATTGGCCAAAAGCAGGATTCGCTGCTTCTCGGACCAAATGTCATTGGTCTAATTCAAATTCAAAAATTGCTTTTATAAATCCCTAGTATTTCTTCTAATGAAGCAAACTAATCCACCTGCAGAAGAGGAGAGAAGAAGAGTGTTTCTTTGATATTTATTTATTTATTATTTAGAGAAGCTAGCTCAAGGGAATATTACAACTAATAATAATAAAATTATTCCAACTATGAATTTAATTTAATTTTTTTTATGAAAAAAAGTTTGGAGAGAGATTGGTTACTCTCACCATTAGTGTCAGGACATACCCACAATCTCGAGCCAAAATGACTTACGCGTGGCATCCAACTGCCACTAGTATGAATTTATGTTGAAAATTACAGATCGCGCATCAACTAGAACTGCTGACAACGAAATTCGAACATCGGTGACGCTAATTATGAATTTATTTATATAATTAGTTGAGATCACTTTCTACAAAAGGTGGTGAATTGTTTGATTTTATTACTTTTCAGGAGACCTATTACTTTTTTTTTTTTTTTGGTCTTAAATCATGAGGTGGTCCTGGATGGGCCCCAACTATGGGTGGCACCTTTAAGCCTTAACCACAACCCAGACTAATCCCCACTCACACCGGGTCGGCCCATAAGGGGTAAAGTGTTGGCCAAAGTGGTGACTCCATACGAGAGCAGGGATCGAACCCCTGACCTCTCTTAAGGAATGAAAGTGCCGAACCACTCATACCAACCACCTTGGTTGAGACCTATTACTTTAATAGGTCCAACTACATAAATATTTTCTCTGGCATTATAAAAAAAAAAAAAAAAACCTACATAAATATGTTCCAAATTTGCAAAGATTTTATAACGGGCTTGGATCTATTATTGTGCAGAATTATGTGGACGTAGGCCCATTTTCAGGGTTGGGTTTCTTTTTGTACCTATCGGCCCAACAGAAAACATAACACGCTATAGCGGCTCGAGGGAATATTACCGATGGAGGTAGTCCATTCATTCATGTCTTCCGGCTAACATGTAATGTAGATGAACCTATCTTCCACCAAAATGTGAAAAATAAAAGTGCATGAAATGAAACTCTCAAGTGGGGACGTCTTTGCTTTGTACGTAGTTTGTGCGAGTCCATTATATATATCTTGTTGTGTTTATAGTAAATTAAGAATTCTATACCCAGCATTTAGCACTTAGATGAGGCCATATTTCTTCGTATTGATTTTAAAATGTGAAAATGGCCTTGTATGGCAGTTTGGAGCAATTGCTCCTATACTGCTTTCGAGTCCTAATATACGTGTAGTGCGTAGTCGTGAAAATGAAGATAAGAACGTGGGGCCCATTACCAAAGTGAGAAAATGTGGTGCTTTCATTTTGGTAAGTGATTTCAGATTAAAGATAGAATCTTCACTCTTCTTGTTGTTTTGTCTCGTTTGTACTAAAAAAAGGAAAGCCAAACAAAGCCTTAAGAAATATTGGAATTTGCCTACTGACAATCCATAGGCAATTTCTTTGGCTTCTTCTCTCCCCTCTCTCTCCCACCACCCAAGTCAACACGGCCGGCTACGCAGAAAAACCCTAGAACCTCAAATAAATTTCCAACCCTGAATTTATTTATTAATTCTATATTAGAGGTCAACGAACCAAAACCCCCAATGTATTAATCGCGTACAGCAAAAGAAAAGAAGAATAACTCCAGCTCCGCCGGTCGTGTTGCTCGATTTTTTCGTGTGATTGCTGTCCTAGAAATGTCGTCGGAGATCGAGGTCGTCGAGGACGAGGTCCAAACCCGTGATCACGAATCTGCGGGTGCCGCCTCAGCCAATTCAACGAACAATGGCGACGCCAATGGGATTGGGGAAGAGAGTCTGCGAAACGACGTGTACACGGCCGCTGCGTACGGGGATTTGGAGAAGCTTCAGAGATTGGTGGAGTGTGAAGGTTGCTCTGTTTCCGAGACCGATGGACTCGGCTACTATGCCCTCCAGTGGGCCGCTCTGAACAACCGCACTGCCGCTGCACAGTATATTATTGAGGTCCTTTATTTACTCTACACCTATTTCATTTTTTTTCTTCCCATGGAGCATGGTGAAAAGGGTTTGCTTCGTTTGATGCGTTTGTGAATTGTGCTTAAATTGCATATCAAAATTTGAGATTTATTATTGATTAGTGGCATTACAGTTAAACTTTGTGTTACTTAGTTAACTGAAAATGCCAACTTATGCTCAGACTGCTTCTCTTCTGTTTTAAAAATTTTTTTAAAAAAAAGGAAAAAGATAACGAGAAATGCTGTATTATCATTAAGCATTTTGCTATTGGTTTTTGTTGATGTCATTAATGATTTTTGTTGTTTTCCTTAAGACAAATTTTAATCCAGGATAAGTGTATTTGTATAACTAGTTTGTGTATAACTAGTTTGTTATTTGGTTTTGTTAAATGCCAGCACGGAGGAGATGTGAATGCCACAGATCATACGGGGCAAACAGCATTACACTGGAGTGCAGTGCGGGGTGCAATCCAGGTTGCAGAGCTATTACCAGCATTACACTGGAGTGCAGTGCGGGGTGCAATCCAGGTTGCAGAGCTATTACTCCAAGAGGGTGCTCGGGTAAATGCAGCTGATATGTATGGCTATCAGGTCAGTTTTACTTTTAGGTCCCCTTCACAATTCTAACCGACCCTGCTTAAGGGAATGTTATGGTTTTGTTGACTACAGATATTGGGAGAAAAAATTGGGATGCAAAATTTGTGCATAACCATCTGTCTTCATATCTGCGTGTTTGTATAAGCTATTTTAAGTACAATATCTGCATTGGACTTTCATGCCATTATTCCGTAAACTAAAGATTTTGAGGCCAGGTTTAATTTGAATATTTTAAGTCAAATTAAACACTAGCAATCAGTAATTAATGATTTCCTTCGAGTATGGTTACTGAAAGGTATATACTGATACAACAATGAGTTTAGTATTTGATTGGAAGTGGATAAGTAAATGACAGTACTTGTTTTAAATTATAGGTTCATGGTTTAGTAAGATCTTTTTACCCCATTTTGGCTGATTATTTGGCTGAAAGAGCCTGAAGCATATGTATTGTACTGATCAAATTTGATATGACCACAGACTACACATGTTGCAGCTCAATATGGTCAGACTGCTTTCTTGTACCATATTGTTTCAAAATGGAATGCTGACCCTGATGTGCCTGATAATGATGGGAGAAGCCCTTTACATTGGTAAGTGAGAATATTATCTTTGTATTGTTTGTTATACCAAATTTCTTTCCTATGGTTTGAGAGTGATTGTTGAAATTTTCACCCATTTCTAGTCAAAGCATGGTTTTCATAATCTTGTTTTCATTGTGTGAAAGTAAATCTAGTTTTTCTGATATATTACTTATGGTCTAGTTTTTACTGATCACATAGCTTGGTTTTTTTATTTTTGGGGTCTCTATATGGCCATTTTCAATATAATTGTGACACTTATTGACTGACACCAAGCTGTTCTCTTGAAACCCTCAATGTCAAACACAATTGATGACATTTATTTAATTTGAAATGCGCACTTCTGCAATGGGACATACATTGATGTTTCTTGCTACAGTTTTGTGCGGTAGATTATATTCTGGGAATGTTTTAGTGTGAAATTTTGTATGTATGTCCATTGGTCGTGATTATTTAGTTAAAGACTTGTGCTGTTTGCTCTGTTTACCTTCCTCTGTTCCTATGGGCAAAAGCTGGTTCAGCCAGTTTCATCTACTTTCCTACTCTTTTCCAATGATAAGTTCTATTTTTCTACATAAATAACTGTACTATATTTTTGCTTATAATATGTATATTTTATTTGACTTTTTGTTTGTTTTGCTTTTGTGTTTAGGGCTGCTTATAAAGGTTTTGCTGATTGTATACGGCTTCTTTTATTTCTGGATGCATATAAAGGACGGCAAGATAAAGAGGGTAAGTACCACCTGTCTTCCATTATCATATGACTGTACGGATTCCAAAATCTTTCACTTATTATGCATGATTATTAATTTATCTTCATTTTGTGTGATTTCAGGTTGCACTCCTTTGCATTGGGCTGCTATCAGGGGTAACTTGGAGGCATGCACAGTGTTGGTACAGGCTGGGAAGAAGGAGGACTTAATGGTTACAGATAACACCGGCCTTACACCCGCACAACTTGCTGCTGATAAGAATCACAGACAAGTTGCTTTTTTCCTTGTAGGTGTTCCATAACCAAAACACTTTTAACATTGGTTAGTGATGTTACTTATTTGTTTGTTCAATGAATTGAGGACTTTAGTTGTCGTGCTGTGTAATGATGTGATGTGATAAGTCATTTTTGTTTCAATTGATTCTTTTCTATTCCTCTTATGTTTTGAAAGAATTCCTTGGTAATATCTAACAAGTGGATACTATCAGTTTTGTTGCTTCCTTTGTTCCCAATATGGCATTTCTGTTTATAGACTTACCTGGAAGTCCCTAGAATAACTTTTTTCCGAGTTTGGTGCTTGTTTCAGGTTTGAGCCTTACATATAAAATTTGTATAATAGAACTCATAAATGAAAGAATGGAAAGAACTGACCATGCTCTGATAACGTGATTTTGTAGGGGAATGCTAGAAGGCTGCTTGACAAACGTTGTGACGGGAACAGTCATCTTGGACAAGTTTCAAAATTAGGACTTGCACCAGTACTTTGGTGTATAATATTTGTGCTCGTGGTGACCTATACTCATTCTGTCATCATGGGTATCTACCCTGAGCTCTATTTGAAACTTCCTTATGTGTCCTTAATGTCATGACTATACAATACTTACAATGCCTCCTCCTCCCCTGTCCAATTTGGTTGCAGCACCAAATCTGCCAAAGTTAACAGCTGGATCAGTTTTTGTTGCATGGCTTGGAGTTTTCTTTGCAACTTCTGGGCTTGTAATGTTTTATAGGTGTAGCAGGTATGACTTTGAGTATTTGTGAGTTCTTTGATGTTAATTGCCGACTTTATCAGCTGGACTGGCCATCATGTTGGAAATAATTAGCTTTCTTAGAACGCAGCTGGTTCACATATATTGTGAAGTATATCGTATTTAGTTATTATAAATAGAGTTCGTAGTCCAATATGTGATCTGTATCTTTCTTATATATGATTATCAGCGTGGTTTGGTCTAAGCCTGTATTTGGTGGGCTGCATGTTTCATTTTCTCCTTTTTTCATGTATCCTATGAACTGGTGGTATTTATAGTTCTAACATTGATATATTTTCCCTCCAATAAAGACAACTTAAAATCAGATTGGTATATGATCCATTATTGTTGCCACTTTTTGGCTCCTTATGTGTTATTGGTTTAACATACTAGAACTGTTCAGCACTCTCAGATAATCAGACTTGTGGAAATGTGATGTTTATGATGATTAAGCTGGCTGTAGACTAACATACACCTACTAAATTAGATATAGCCAACTTCAATAATGGAAAATATATATTTTTTTTTAATAAGTCATTTTTTGTTTTGTGCATGCACATGTTGTTTCATGAATGCATACATAGGTTTTATGGTACAGTCTAGAGCAATGTCAATTAATTAAATGTTTCATTGATTTTTTAAAATTGTTCTTATTGCAGCAAGGATCCAGGTTACATCCGAATGAATATCCATGATTCACAAAATATGAAAGATGATGTTCGTACCATTCTTTTCTTTTTCTTCTCTTTTTGCCCAAACTCTTTCCACATATTATTGTTTTTTTTTTTTTTTGGGTCTGAACCACGAGGTGGTCCTGGATGGGCCCCAACTATGGGTGGCACCTTTAAGCCTTAATCACAACCTAGACTAATCCCCGCTCACACCGGATCGGCCCATAAGGGGTAAAGTGTTGGCCAAAGTGGTGACTCCATATGAGAGCGGGGATCGAACCCCTGACCTCTCTTAAGGAATGAGAGTGTCGAACTACTCACACCAACCACCTTGGTTACATATTATTGTTTTTAATTAATGATATAGTGCATCTTTGGCCGTTCCCCTTTTGATTTTTTTTCAAGTTAAGGCCTATTGTTATAACTCTCATATAGAAGATGAGAATCATAATGTGCTCTTGACTAAAAATTTCTAAAAGTTATGTTAACATGTTAATAATTTATTTGCCATCTTTTACCAGGAACCTCTGTTGAAGATTGAGATAAATAACCCTGCCTTGCTAGCTGGTAATTGGTCTCAGCTCTGTGCAACGTGCAAGGTGCCATTGACTGCTGACTTTAGTAACATATATATGACCCTCATATTTAGTTATTGAACGCATTTGTCTAACTTGACTTGCTGGCATTGACATCAGATTGTCAGGCCTCTTCGTGCAAAGCACTGTTCCACTTGTGATCGTTGTGTTGAACAATTTGACCACCATTGCCCTTGGGTATCCAATTGCATTGGCAAGGTACATTGACATTGATAAGCTGTGGAGTTCTGAATTTAGTTTTTCAATATCACCCAACTTTTCATGTTCTGATTAGTTTAATCCTTTTCTTTTCTTTTCATGTTATACAGAAAAACAAATGGGATTTCTTTGCTTTCCTTGTTCTGGAAGTTTTGGCAATGGTATTCACTGGAGGGGTTACTCTTACGAGTATGTTCCTCTGATTCTAATTTTTTTAAGTTTCTTGGGCCATAAGTTCGTGTGTGTGTGCACGTGTGCTTTAACCTGCTAAAAAAAAATAATTTCTTCTTGCAGGAGTTTTGAGTGATCCAGTCAGTCCATCTTCTTTTGGAGCATGGATTAATTATGTCACCACTAATCATGTTGGTGCTCTTTCATTTTTTATCATGGATTTCTTCCTCTTTTTCGGTGTGGCAGTTTTGACTGTTGTACAAGCTTCTCAGGTAAGTCTTTTCTTTTATTGATTTGCTCAATAAAAAAAGGGATTAAATAATAGAAAAAATTGTTATGATCAGCAAAGTAAATATTTCTAAACTTTGTTCAGTAAATTAAATATCTCCCAAAAACAGTGAAAGAAGTTACCTACTTCATGCTCTATGTAAAGAGTGCCTTAGCACACTAGTTATTCAGGCAATAATTCTATTTATGGAAACTTTCCATTCATTTGTAATGAAAATGAAGTTTCCTGATGAATTTTCGAGATAGACTAATTCATCAAACCAGACTTTAATATTGTTGCATATTTTCTTCCTTCAGTTTTGTGTTGTGATCTGGTGCTACCTTTCAGCCTCTGCAATCCTATGTTAAGGAAATATGTGTATATATATTTTTTAATCTACAAGGGTTTTGTAAAAATTTAGTTTGTATTCTGCGACATTGGATTTTGTTATTAGATCCATAATCTTTCTCTTGTTACAGATATCACGAAATATTACAACTAATGAAATGGCAAACGCGATGCGCTATAACTACCTTAGAGGCCCAGGTGGTCGGTTCAGAAATCCATATGATCATGGGATCAGGAAGAACTGTTCGGATTTCTTGATCAAAGGTTACAACGAAGATGTGGAATACATTGAAGAATCAGCTCGTGATGAGGAGGAGGGTATTGGAATGAGGCATATGCTGAAGAACTCAAACGTGCAAAATGGTGATGCCTATTCTCACCACACAAATGGCAATAGTCAGGTTGCAATGAATGTAAATTCTAATTCAACATCACATCATGGTCATGCTCATTCTGCCCAGTGCAGCCATAATAATCATGGGAAAACAAAAAGTGATAACGTTCCGTTAGGCTTAGGTCTTGGCCTTGGACGGAACACTGCCCGATCTGTTGTAGCTTCATGATAGTAAATTAAATTTTATGGCCAGAGTGTAGCTGAAGATGCGTTGTGTATTATAATCATACTTGTACTTCAGCTTTTTGTAATTTGATTGATTGTCGCTCCTCCTTATAAAGAAGTTGCACGAAATTTGTTTAAAATGATCCTTTCCATGAGTTATGCTATAGCTGTAGCCTGTAAGATTGAATTTGATTAACCTCATTTGCCTTGTGAATATTGAGTGCGTCATACTTTTAAGATGTTGGTTGGTGAATTAAAAGAGAGCTCTATTTGTTTATTTTGGCTATCATAATCAACACAACACTGCTGTTATAAATCATGATTCGTTTTTATTCAGATCTTGATATTATTACTCCAAAATATCGTCGTGCACTCATTTTTTTCTTTTTGCAAGGGCATAAGTGCATGCATGATGAGGCTTCTTTATTTTTCTCTCGAGTCTCGACCCTTGGTTGATTAATTAATTAACGTAAAATAATAATACTCAAATCAAATGCATCTCCCAAACCGCACTATTCCACCAACCAAATGCTCACATCGCCAATCTAAAACTAGAAGTTGATTATATAATTCCGCAACTTGTTTCTTTCTTGCAAGCTTCTTTATTGTTACAACCATCATTATTATTTCTATGATTCTTCCAATTGTTTCTTGCAAATTGGGGTCCAACAGCATAAACATTTCTTGCAAGATAAAATCTTCATTTCTTCGTCATCATTTCATTTATGTTGAGGCCCTCCTATCCTATAATATTCAACCACCAACATCAAAATCCATCATTCCCCGCCAATATAATAAATATAATACAAACCAATAACTTTTTTTTAAAGACCTTTTTTATTGGGATGAGCGATGACATATTAAATTCACACACACATCACGGATGTTATGACTCGAACTCATAACCTTTCCTTAAGAAATAATTACTCCAAATCACTACACTAATGAGTCTTTTGCAATAACCAATAACTTTCAAAACAAGGATAGGTGGCATAAGTTAAAAGAGAAATAAGGATTAAAGTGGAAGCCCACCCCCCACAAGGGAGGTGGAGTACGCATGAAACCAAACCAACTTGATTTTATTCCCAAAGCTCACTGATGCAAAAGACTAAACCGAAACGGCGGCCTCTTGGTTAAAGTTCCTTTTCGAGAAATTTGGCCCATTGTTCCTTTACTAATTAATTATTAATTATTCCACGCGGCAATACCTTGCTTTTCCCGCCGGTGAAAAAAAGAAGAATCTAGTGGGGTCGGACCGTCGTAGCGGGACCCACAGTAGCCGCCCATGACCGCATGGCGTGTCTCTCTATCTCTGTTAACTTATTACGTCTCATTTTCTTATCTCATTCATTTTTCATTCCAGGCTAAAAGCCTAAAGCTACTCGCGAGTAGGGAGAGTCTGACTCTGCCGCGCGAAAAGCCACGTGGCGAAGATCAGATGGGGGTTCGTCTCTCTCAACCTCACCTCACTCACTCTCTCTCTCTCCTTCTATTTTCCCATCCTTGTCCTTCCAAGTCGTAATTCCTAACCTCCACTTTATTGCTATTTCAGTTTCAATCCCTCTCTGGCTCTTCTCCTTGATCGTTGAATTATTGGGTGAGACTTGTGTTTCTTTTCCCTTGTAAGTTGTATTGATTATCAATAAGTGATCGCTACAGTTTAGCTGATGCTATTACACTCTCTGTTTCTATTTGTTATCCGAGAATTATGACTTATTGTGCTAAGTTGCTAACTACCAAACTGAAACAAACCAAGAGTAAAGTTTTGAATTATCATCATACTTATTTGATTGAATTTGTTCGTAAAGTTGATTTATGATGCCGGTAATTTTCCTTTTTCTTCTTCTTCTTCTTCTTTTTATTAATGAAAAAGTATACTGAAAGTATTTATTTTTCTCTTACCACTGGCTCTGGCTGGACTGGATAGTTCATCCCCATAGCTATGTGACCATGCCATGACGAGCTCTTGTGATTTTCCCAACATCTTATGTTCAGTTCAGGGTTTGTTTTTGTTTGGTTGTTTTGGTATGACAAGTTAATTTCCAATGTGGGAAAATGAATCGCTATTCTCAACAGTTTGCTAGATATTGCTTCTTTCGTTTGGCTGCTATTTAGCGTGTTCCACATATGTATGCTTCAATTGTTTAACATACAAATAATGTTGCTTGTTTGTTTTTTTTCCTTCCAGGACCGAGTAGAGTTCATGCCCATGAACCTCTATTATGGAATGGGCCGCAATAATATTATTTTGCTGCGTATTTCATGAGATTAAGTTATCAATTCAGTACAAATAGATGATGGGGGGAATTTGTTCGAGGAAGAGAAACCAACCAGTCATCGAAGATGGCATCCATAGAGCCGCGGCTGGAAGAAGTGGCAGTTCAAAATGGCTGGGACCTTCATCTTTGCGACCTACTGTAGAACAGTCTTCAGGAGGAGCAGGCATTTGCCCATCTCTCTTGGAATTATGCATTTGTAAAATATGCCAGGTACTTGCTTTTTGTGGCACATGTAAGCTTGAGCTTGTGTGTGTTACGTGTGGCAAGAATTATATACGCATTAATTTTCAGGTCCTCGTTTATTTATGCCTGCTGTTACATATGCATCTCTGTTACAGGACATTGAAAAATACAGTTCGCTTTCAATGCTACCAAGGGATGTTAGCCAACAGATCTTCAACGAATTGGTCTCCTCCCATTCTCTTACTGAAGTTTCTCTTAAAGCTTTTAGGGATTGCGCTCTCGAGGTAATGTGCTAGTGGGTGGTTGAAATTTGGAATTTGGAAATTTGGAAAGGCTTTGTCTTTATCTAGAATTTTCTTTTGTAATTGCAGGATATTGGTTTGGGTGAATTCCCTGATGTGAAAGACAGTTGGATGGATGTCATCTCTTCACAAGGTTCATCATTACTTTCTGTTGATCTTTCTAGTTCTCAGGTGACAGATTCTGGATTGGCTCTTCTCAAAGACTGCTCAAACCTCCAAGCATTAACTTATAATTACTGTGACCATGTGTCAGAACGTGGACTTAAACACATAAGTGGTAAAATCTCTGTTTTTTATTTGTTTTATCTTGGCTATTTTTGCACTCAACCATTGTTCACTGTTGTTGTTTATAATGTGCTTTATTTTCCCATTAATGATATGGTTTGTTTCTGGGGATTATAAGTTATTTAATTTGATCTTATGGTCCAACTTTTTTGTTGTCTTTGATGATCTGATTGTTAATTCAATAGGCTCTTAGTTTATAGTATACTGGAATCACATGCAGTTTTGTATTCATGCCTTTCTTCTCTATTTTGAACTATTTTTACTTGAATAGTCTTTTGTATCAGTTAAACTTTCCAAATTAACTTTTTAGTTGGATGATGTAAATGCTTATTCTGACCTTGCTCTGCAGGTCTGTCGAACCTGAAATCTTTGAGTTTTAAAAGGAGCAGTGCAATAAGTGCTGAAGGGATGCGTGCCTTCTCCGGCTTATTTAACTTGGAAAAGTTGGACCTGGAGAGGTGTCAAGAAATTCATGGTGGATTTGTTCATCTTAAAGGTACCCTGCTTAAAAATGAATTATGTTATCTAATTAGATGGAACTTGTCACCTTAGTCTCAATCATCAAGGCATGAAGCTAAGTGACATGGCATTGCTGTTCATATGTTTTTCCATTGCTGGGAAGCTTCAAAAACTCCTTGATGATTTTTGGCTATCTCTTTTATGGGTATGAGAATAAGTGAGTAGGGTAAACTAACTAATTGAGGTTATGGCCTTCTTTTTCATTGTTATGAATTTACAATTTAGTGGTTAATAGTAGCTATATGAAAATAGTGATTCATTGATTTCGGGTGTAACACATTAGAGTTATATTTTTTGCAGATTTGATGAAGCTAAAGTCTCTTAATGTTAGATGTTGTAATTGCATCACGGATTCTGATTTGAAGACCATCTCAGGTATTTTATCTCAAAATCATTGTACTCTTTTATGATATAACTAAAATATGATTTTTTAATGACAGAAATGTAGTCCTCTAGAATCTCCTCAGAGTATCCTTGACACTTAATGTTTGATTCGATCAAAAAACACTTAATGTTTGATGTACACTTGAAGGAACCTAACATTGACTGATCATGTTACTGATCGTATTGTCTAATGTCCTGCTATCTCCAATTCTTGTTCAATGTTCCCAATAAGGTTCAGATTGATTGTTTGGAAAAAGGAAGCTGCAAAAGCTGTTTCATTTTCAAGGATTTTCCTTGTAGATTGAATTTTGTTTGGGATTAATTTTGTTTTCTTGCTTAATTGCATAATATCAGTTTGGATCAGCACATTTTGACACTCGTATTTTCATATTTCTCAGGGCTTACTGAACTGAATGAGTTGCAGTTATCCAACTGTAACATTACTGATACTGGTGTTTCTTATTTGAAAGGTATTTTATAGTTGGTGTCATGTTGATGCACCAATAAATTCTGCTGCTCTCTCCTTAATTTTGTGTTTCTTATTTGTGTGTTTGTGGTAGATGCACACACATACCTCAAAAAATACCTTATATATAATTCGAAGAATAGGATGGTGACAACTACTTACATCATAACTATAATAGAGAGGGAATCTAACTTTGATGAATCAGTACCATCTGAGCTGACGCTATACAGCTGCAGTAACAATTCCTGCTCCTTTTAAGATTATATCTCCTTTATCATTAGGTTTGTGCTAAGAAACCAAGAAAGGAAAAAATCTTATATAAAAAAGGAATGTTGCTATGAGAGGGCAAGGAGATCGGCCAATGAGAGACTGGCAATCCCATTTGACATTTTCATACTGATTTATGCTTTTCTTTAGTCTATCAATTTTCTGGACTATTTGGGTTTATCTGCCATATTGCTTGTTTATCAGTAGTTTGTGAAGCTTAGTTGATTGGTCTTCGTTTGTGCATGGCAGGCTTGCACAAGCTTAGAATGCTGAATTTAGAAGGATGCAATGTTATTACTGCCTCATGTCTGGAGTCTATTTCAGGTTTGCTTTCTCTTTGTTGTTTTGTGTTTTCTAATGATTGTGTTAACAACATTGATAGTTGTCCTTAAGACTGCTATAGCATTCGAAACAAAAGATTCACTTTAATATTTCTAAAAAAGTGTGCACAACTGTGGGTATACATGTCAACAAACTTCTTAAAGGTCTGTATGGCACAATTTTTGTACTGTTATTTTAGGAGAATACGGGCATCCTATGTTTTGTTAAAATTATTTGTTTCTGGTGCAGCTCTTGTTGCCCTGTCTTACTTAAATCTCAACAGATGCGAACTATCTGATGAAGGATGCGATAAGCTTTTGGGTGAGTGACAATAGGGTTTGTGACCACATGGATCTGGTTATTTGTTTAACAAGTTGCTCAATTTTTTATATTTTTTACTGGCTGAGTTCTTGGTAATCTTGACTTTGCCACACTAACCATATTTGGTTAACAGATTTACTCAATTTTTGTAATTTTTATGTGGTTGAATAGTTGGTAACCTTGACTTTGCTGCATTAACTATGTTTCTACAGGACTTATGAACTTGAAGGTTTTGAGCTTTGGATTCAACAATATCACAGATGCATGTTTGATGCATCTAAAAGGTTCTCTCTCTCTCTCTCTCTCTCTCTCTCTCTCCTGACATCTTATTTTCATCTGCAAGACACAAGGATATTAGTTTGCATTCTGGGGAAGTTTATATCAATTTTTCCTGGTGTTATTTCCACTTTTTCCGCTGAGGTGAAAAGGGGTATTCTGACCTGTGCAGCTAGAATAGTAACCTCAAAAAACAAAAGGGTATTTTGTTTAGAGTTGAAGATTCACCTTAAAAACTATATTTTGGAAGTTAGAGCTTATTAGCAGTATATAATTTTTGTTATGATCGGGAGACTACCATCTTGTGCTATAGTTTTGTTGGATTAGATCAATAGTTGCAAGTTCCTCTATGCAAGATCATACTCTTGTACATATTTCACTGAACTGTTCTGTATATTGTATTTTCTGGTCGCAGCTGACCTGAATGCAAGAGATACATTTGTTTTCAACTTTCTGATAGTAGTAGTACTAGTCATAAATTTGACTTATACCTGGTAACGCTTCTATCAGGTTTAACGAATTTGGAGAGCTTGAACCTGGATTCCTGTAAGATAGGTGATGAGGGGCTTGCTAATTTGGCAGGTTTGCATTTCTGATTCTACCATTTTTTCGTTTTGGATTGCAGTAATATGGTTTGCATGGGCTGGGTTCTTTTCCAATATTTTTAGGTGGTATGGAAGTGGGACATGGTGCTTCATTCATAACTAGCATATGTATTTTCACAAGCGCTAAAAATGTACGAGGATGGAAGATTGTTACCCTAACTATTTGCAATTGCATGCATTTGACAAATCTGAGCGTGTCTTCTTTTCTCAGTTTAAATTGATAGTTTTGCATGCATTTTCATTTTGATTCTGTTCTCTTTTCTGAACTCACAGTAGGGCTGCTTGTGAAAGGTTAATATCCAGGGTGTAGTTCAATGTGTTCATTAGATTCCCAACCCTTATATTTAACCAAGCAGCTAAAAAGATTGCAATAACGTGTTCATATTTCCAATTTGGGTTACTTTAAACTGTGGTCCTGATTTTTGAAATAATCTAACTGGATAATCAGTTCAAAGATCAGGATTTGGAATACAAGTTTTGTTGGGAAGTTTGTGAATGACTTTGCTTTATTTTCTATAGAACCTATCTGATTTTATGGTGTTCTTTTTATATGAAGGTCTGACACTCTTGAAGAACTTGGAGCTATCTGATACTGAAGTTGGAAGCAATGGGCTTCGTCATCTCTCAGGTGAGGACCCTGCCCACAGTTGGCTGTTTTTATTATTTGAATGTTATATATTTACACAAGGTCTATAACAACCCATCATCCCGTCTATAGCTTCTAACATATGTATTGGTCATTTAATTTAAATGATTTTTATTTGGGAGGATTGTCATTTTTTGCAGTTTATCCAGTTTAGAATACTTCGTTGTCTATTTATTGTTCTGCAGTTTATTTGGTGCATGTTCCTCATTACTGTGTTTTTAATGCATTAGTTGAGTTGGTTGGTTGTTGTCACTTCCAGGTTTGACAAATCTCCAAAATTTGAACTTGTCGTTCACCCAAGTAACTGACAGTGGCTTGAAAAAGTTATCTGGACTGACATCTCTCAAATCAATTAATCTGGACGCTCGGCAGATTACTGATGCTGGACTTGCAGTTATTACAAGTAAGGATTTTTGTGTGTTTTAGTTGTACTATTCCTTTGAATGCTAAACTTTTCTATAATTGGTTTGGCTATGCGCTACTCTGGACTCGCAATCACTAAATTTAAGCCAAGATGTCATGAGGTCTACTTTGTATATTCATGTGGGATAGGCTTACGCTTCCAGGGAGGCAATGCACGTTCCTTTTGTGTCATTCATCTTTTAGCCCTAGCTTATGATTGAAGCATTGAGTTCCACTCAAATCAATATTCTTCTAAAGAAAAAACTTTATAGACATTTCTCATACATTTGTAATCACATGTTTTAGCTTCACTCCCTTCATGTGTGTTTGTTGATGCCTGAACCCTTTTGTCCCATGCGTTGCTGATACAGGTCTTACAGGATTGACACACCTCGACCTTTTTGGTGCACGCATTTCGGATTCTGGAGCAAACTGTTTAAAATGTATGCTATAAGATTTGCACTATGATCTTCATTTATTTATATAAGGAAACTCTACTCATTTCTTGGTCTAGTAATTTAACTTTTCTCTGGATTACTCTCCAACACTGAGGGCAGTTGAGAAGCCTGAGCTTCTTATGTGGGTATTACACGCTTGAGGAAGTAATCATTTTGATTACTCTTAGATTTTTCACATTATAGTACATGCATGACATTTGCTCCTTTTTAGAAAAAAAAATGAAATATTTTTGTTTCATTCATTACATGCTTTCCCCCATCATGAGATGGACTGTGGAATAGAATGGGGAATTTGATTTTACATTTTAACTTCTGCAACTTAGCAGTAATTTTCTCGTTCTAAAGTTCATACCTTTCTATGTGTTTTCTTTTTCTTTTCTTTCTTTTGTGAAAACAGACTTCAAGAATCTTCAATCTCTTGAAATATGTGGTGGAGGACTGACTGATGCTGGTGTAAAGAATATCAAAGATCTTGTCGGTCTGACATGGCTAAATTTGTCACAGAACTGCAACTTGACGGATAAATCCTTGGAATTGATTTCTGGTATTTTTGGCTTCTCTTTTCTGGTTTTCTTCTCCTAGAGCTGTTGTCATATAGAAACGGTATCATTAAGTCATCCTAAGTTTGATTTTCTTCTCCTAGAGCATTTGGTGCATTGCGTCAGGGATCTTTTGTCGCAACTCTAACCAGATTCAGCCCCTCAGAGCCTCCCTTATGACTCAAAGAAGATTTTCTTTACGATCAAAACTTAACATTCTATTTTTGATTCATCGTCTAACCTTTTTCTTATCTGTGAAAATGCAGGACTGACTGCATTGGTGTCATTGAATGTTTCAAATTCTCGCATTACAAACGAGGGGTTGCAGTATTTAAAGCCATTGAATAATTTACGTTCACTGACCTTGGAGTCTTGCAAGGTGACTGCATCTGAAATCAGGAAGCTTCAGTCTGCTGCCCTGCCTAATCTGGTCAGCTTTCGGCCAGTATAGATGGGTTGGATGGTTTACAAGAGAAGATACTATGTAAATAGCCTTGCTATCTGCTTGGATAGCTCTGTGTACAGGTAAATAACTCCTTGTGGAAAGATCAGAGGGGCCAAGATTTCATGATGGAAAAACCATTTTGATAAATGTATAGATGGCCTGCCTGTATCTGGATGGATATTTTGTTAGCTTCCAACTTTGAATCTATTTCACATAAGAATGTATATAAGGATTGTATCTATGTTAATTAAAACCATATTGTGCCGTAACTGAATGGAAAACTATGGTTGAGTTGAGTTTATATTTCTTGAAATGAACCTCGATGAGAATTGTTACATACGAGTATGCCAAGTTCATATATACGAAGGTGTATGAAAGCAAGAGGTATATTTTGTTAGGGGCGCGAATTGGGTTGGATTGGAACTTCTGAGCATCATTCAAGCATGTTTCTATCCTCGCAATTATGTTTATAAAAGCAATTTTCCATTGCAAACAGCCGCACAAATGAAACCAATCAACCTCTCAAATAGTGTGCAAATGGTTTTTTTTTTTTTTTTAATGCTATAAATATTATACTTTAATCTAATCTAAATTATGAGGGGATTTGAACTCGGGTGCCTGTGTTTGGGTCGCACAAACTAGTCTTAATATCAATATTAATATTCTCGATTTACTAAAATAATACATCACCAATCTTCAGAGCACAAATTTACTAATAACAAGTAACATTATGCAGATTACAAGTACAGAATGATGGGAGAAAGTAATTAAGCAGCTGGTGAAAACTCTTTCTCAATCGGATACAGTGGCAGGCAAGGCAGTAAAAGAGTTAAAAACCCACTTCTCTAATCCTGAGTCTTTCATCTAATAATGTCACAACAAACCCAACTTCACGAGAGAGAGCATGAAGAGTGTGATTGCCAAATTCCAATTCAATTCAATTCAACTTGAGGGTTTGCCCAAAATGAAGCGTCTCTTCAAACAGATGCCCAAGGATTTAATAGACTTGGTGGGCTTTTTTTTGGTCCCGCGCTTCCCCTTGCATCTCTTTTCCACTAGTCCCTGCTGTGAAACACACCCATAGGCTATACATCATCAGAAACCACAAGGACTAACAAAAACTAGTCTAAAAGACATGCAGAATTTGATTCATGGCTTGGCATTAATAAATAAAAAGATTTCACATACATCACCTTTGTTTTTAGACGAGGGAAAAATATCAAGCAAAGCTGCAGCATGCTTCGCTTATATTTAGTGAAGGAATCAACAAAGACAAATGTTCCTCTTCTTTTCCACTCATTTTCTTTAATAATTGATAATTCTAAAGCAACTTGATTAGGGACAATGAAAGATGGTAAAGTTACCTACCTGGCACACTGTTTCTTCTTCTTCTTCTTCTCCTCCTCCTTTAGGTTCGTTATCCTCACAATCTCTGAGTCATAAAATCATATTAATAACTAAGCAGATTGAATTTAGTACAAGGGGAAGAAGAAGAAGAAATTAAAGAGAAACATGAATTCAAGGAAGGAACTTACAGAGAGAAGCTGAAACCGTTGTAGAATTCTGACTCGCCCTTGACCTCCACATTATAAACAGTTGAATGCAAGGTCTTGATGATGCAGCTTCCTTCTCCTTCATCAACAATTCGGAAAGTGGTGATCATCACGACATTGGTAGTCAACGGCAGTCTGGACAAGACAAAAGTCCAAGTTTCCCAAATGAACCATACACTCTGTGCAATATGCATATTCTCTATATGACGTATAATACTCTTCCTAGTATTTCAAACCCTCTAGTGTCAAGGGTTTGCTTGTAGAATACGTACTAGAATCGAAGGAGACCTTTGTAACCATCCCAAACCTGAAGGAGGATAGAGCATACATGTTATCTCCTACAACCAAATACGGATCCAGAGATCCTCATCATTCTTCTTATCCAAAAACTTGGTTACAGGATGAAGCACTGGAGGTGGGTCTTGACCCTGACCTCGAATTGATCCTCCTGGTCTTCCCCCCATAATTGCTCCTGATCCTTGTTGGATTTTCACTTGGTATAACACACCGAGATATGGTTTTTAAAAAGATTACACCAATATGAACACAGATAATTTATATTCTGTGTACCCCTGCTGCTCCGAACGAGACAACCCTTCCATGTGCAAGCTGGACAACATGCTCTTTGTTTCTAAGGATAAAAGGCAAAGCAGACTAAAATACCAACGGATCGGGGAAAAATGAATCCACAGAAGAAAAATATATATCCGTTAGGGTTTCGGGGAATTCAGTATTGGTCTTTTTAGAACTTTTCCTACTGAGGGGAGGCAATAATATATTAAACTCACACACATAATATACAAAATACAAAAACAGTCACCCAATTTTGCGGCATATGAATTTTGCCTTTTTTATTTTTCTTGTAGGAGGAGGGCATTCCTTTTGTTAAGAAAAGGTTCAGCATTGATAAAAAGCTGGAACCTTAACTCAAAGAGCTAACATAAATGAACAAAGAGTTACGTATTAATTATTGTCTTCTTTTCTTCCAGGAGGTTAATTCATCTGGGATTAATTCTTCACTACATGAAAGCACAGCTCGTGCCATCAACTTCCCAAGCCAACCATGGTACAACAATCCCCTTGAACCAAGCCCTCCAAATAACCAGTAGTTGGAGGTTCGGTTTTCGCCTACAATGTCATTGACACAACCCAAAAGGGGAAGTGAGCCATGAGGAGTGAGTGGTGGCATTGCCCTCAGGCCAGCCCTGGCTCCAGCAAAGCTCCAATCCTTTAGAGCAGGAAAAATGGCACATGCCTTCGGCAGAAGCTCGTTAAGGGCTTCCGTGGCTTCATCTGCACATACATTTGGTGATGAGTTTCTTGATTTCCATTCCCATGTTGAGCCCATATATAAATTTCGAGGACCTTGCACAGCAAGCCAAGCATCTGACAATATCGAGGGGCCAAGACTTGGATACTCCTCTCTTCAAACACAGAACTTTACAATATGAGTTTCGTAGATACAGAATTAGGCCATTCAGATACCAAACTATAAAGGACAAAAGAAAAAACAGAAATGTCAAATGAGTGATGGCATTTTAACTCCTTTACTAAAGCCTGTTTTATACAAATATAATGCAGAGAAGAACTTTACCCTAAATGATCAGGAAGCTGAAGATGTGCAACGACACCTCTGCATGTCCTCAAAGGAAGTCTCCCACAGAGCTCAGGAAGCAAGTCTGCTTTCGCACCTAGACATACTATTACTGCCTGGTATTCCCCTAACATCAACTGTAATCAGCCACTAACTAAACATGAAAAGATAACTGCTCAGAAATTACTGAACAATCAAAGTTACTAAATAAAAAGTTAGTGTTTTAAGACACTAACAACATGGGCCTAACTAGAGATTGAAATAATGGTAGGGTCATTACCTTCTAGGTCTAGGAGTTTGTGGACAGAACTCTTGTGCAAATGTAATTCTTTTACTCCAAAGCCATCAGAATATATTTCCTTCACCAAATTTTGACATGCTAAGAAGAGTGCCTGGAAAAATAACCATGAGAACAAGAAATTAACACAAACAAAAAGAAAACATTTGTTACTAAAAAGATAGGAGGGGAGAGTGGTCAGGGGCATAAATATCCAGACCTGTAAATAGCGTTGAGGATGAATATTAACAGCTTCAGGCATATAAAATGAGGTGTTGAAAGGTACACATATACTGGGTAGAAGATTTTGGGCAGCATCGTTGTCAATGGTTTCTATTCTGCAACTGGCAAGGCAATTCTGGGCATTCTAATGACATAAAACAAAATATACTAGGATCATAAAGAGGTCGAAAATCAAGTGTTGAAGCTGTTGTGCTAGTAGAATGATGAGGGAGAATTACATCTTTCAACAACATCAAGTTCTTCATGCGCAGGGCTGGTCTCAAGATGCCCCTGAAGAGAACAAATACAAGACATGCCTATTATCTAAACTAATGCGAAGATAAAGAGTGAAAGAAAACCTTTCAAGATGTTAGACAGACTAAAATGCATAAGCCCCTCCCCCCCACCCCACAAATGCTGCAAGTAGAACACAACCAAAGATTTCAACTTTACTTTCAAAGTTTCCATAATTCAATTCAATTTACAAATATTCCTTTTTGTAATGGACGAAAATCCAATGGAAATTTGAGACCCAATGTCAACATAACAAACATGAATAAAATGCAAACCTTCTTCTAACAATTGGCAATGGGTCGTCTTCATTAGGATTTTGAGCAGCAGAAGCTGCTGCTGCTTCGGCAACGCTCAAAAGGTTTAAAGATTCATTCCAGCAGTCGGCAGCACGCCATAGAAGCTTGGCTTTAGGGGAATAAGGATGAAGAAGGCCTCCTGAAACGCCCGATGCACCTCCTCCGATTCCAACTTCATCGTAAATGTCGATGCGTATACGCGAGTCTTTCGGACTCTGCTTTAACAAGTGCCACGCAACTGAGAGGCCGGCGAAGCCAGCACCAAGCACCGCGTACCTCACAAAACTCGGGCCAAGACTCGGAGGACGCTGCCGCTGAGTCAGAGAAACCGACGCGGAGGACCCAACCGAACAAGAATAACAAGAAAATGGTAATGTGGTTCCTCTGGTACTGTGTACACCATGACCCATCCTCCCTCCTCCAATTCCTCTAATACTCGGCTTCCTCTGGATTTCGAATGGTGTCCACTTCCTCCGTTATGCCTGCTATAACTATTACTGCGCGCAGCTTACCCCTTCTCTTTTCTTTTCATTTGTTTTTTTTTTTTGGGGGGGTTTTTATTTTTCTTTCCCCATTTTTGGGGCCTTTTTCTCTGTCCATTTTCTCATTACGAAACACATACCACTTTTGGTGGTGGGTGGAACTAAACTGAACCATTTCAGTACAAATCAATAAGTCATGACTGTTTGGTATGCTAAGATTGAAAAGTCAACCTATAACCCAAGTTTAACGAAATTGAAGTTTCAATTGGAGGAAACATGGCTCACGCATTTGACAAGGTGCTCCAATGCTTATGATAGTGTAAACTATTTAGAAGATGAATGTCAGAATTCGGATTTTGGAGGCACCCAAAATTTCAAATTTGTATAGCACTAGAAAATAGTTCAAGTTGCTCCTGTCATTTCACATCATATAAGTTGACGACACTAGTGCACAGCTAATTTAAGGCCCCATTTCTCATTAAAATTACACCAGCAATAGATAATTGTCCTGTAATAGCTCACTGTTTATGAAAAAGGTTAGAAAAATATTACAAATACTTTTATGCTTTACGTAAAATAAGACGTCTTTCTCGCTTGTATTCAACTTCATCCCTCTGGTGCATAATTATAAGAGCTCTTCTCACCTGCCATAATAACAATGATATCAATGAATGCACCAATACAGACTTTATAATTCGATCATAAGAAAAGATGCGGTTTGAAGCAAATGAACACCCATACGATTGCTTCTGCCCATTAGTTTCTTAATAATGGTCTGTTCAGCTAAAACAGTGGTTCTTCCGGTGTCCATTGTTTCTTGTTCCACAATCACAACATTGTCATTAATTTTATTCGAAGAAATAATTCAAATTGAAAAGCACCAAACGTGAAGGAAGTATAAACAGTAGAGACATTATTGGGTACGAAAATCATTTTCTAGAAACAGTCACTGTTGTTCTAAAGAATCAGATTTTCCAAATTTGTTGTTCGTGTACGGAGGCAACTGTAATGGATATTTAATTAAATGACTACTTACAATAGATTCATTCATCCCCATTCTTGTGAGCTCATCAATCAGCTTTCTCTCTGATATGTGGTTCCCAATGCCTACTCTTCTCCTTATCTGAGTTTCAGCTTGCTGTTTAAGGGAGAAAAAAAAGATTAAGCACGCATGGAAAAAAGAAAGAGAAAGATAACAGAGCGAATGACAATCTCTTATTAGTTATTTTATTATTTTGTTCTAGGATTGATGGCAGTGACACAGTTTCTACTAACCTTAATTTCGTTTGCCATCTCAGCAGTAAGATTGACTTGTTGATTTATTCCAGACTTTGCTGCATCCATTGTGGACACGGTAAATAGTCTTATTGCTTCCTTAACATTATCCTCAGTAGCAACATGGCACCTGAACCATAATTACGGAAACAGAGGTGGTTCAATAATAAAAACAGATGCAGTACCACTCTAAATTTGACATAGTAGCGTTTTTATTATTACAGCTCTAGTCCCCATTTTCCTGTTATTAAACATTCCAAACTGGAAATTCTAAGCACCAATCAATATCACTAAATACTTACAGTTTCATTTTTGCAAGGGCCTCACTCAATCTCACAATAGCTTCCAGCTGCCTTACAGTGATTGGTATTGCAGCAGCCTCCCCGGTTTCATTTGCTTGCTGTCTCATGTCCTATAAGAAAATTCACGAAGATGATGGGATTCCCAAAAATCCTTTAGCTATATGTATTTCTTTGAGCACCATATGAGCATTTCTGGTATGCCATCTGCTCAAGAATTTTGAATGCCAATCGCCCCAATAGTATAAGCTAACAGCAAGAGTACCTGTCTGATTTTCACATAATTATCCTGCAGCTTCTTGGATGCAGGTTCTGATAAACGGGGGTGACATTCAGTACGACAATATTGTATGTATCTGCACATGTTACAATGAAAAAGATTCAGCATCTTGTCAATATTTCAATTGCATCATTGTGCAAAGAATGTATGACCAGGTGCTTAACACTATATACCTCTTCAGCCAATTCTCTTCTTTAGAAACTACCCTATTGTCACCCAGAGCTGCCCCAGCAGACGCATGAACCTTTATGATATGACTTGCTATAATCTGTCATTGAAAAGCAGAATCAAGTTGATGCACCTACTAAATGAGCATTTTTTAATAGGTAACTCAATATTTATATTGATGAAAAGACCGTACAATCAAAGTGGACTATACAACCCTCTACCTACAATAAGCAGAAAAAATATAGCACAATAACTGACAAAACACAGTCAACCCAACATCAAAGAGAAAGGGTCCACCCAAACTGCAATCAAACTAAGACACTGCAAGGAGAAAGAAAGGGCAGTTACTAAATGCAGATGAAACCAAAGCACAAAGTGAGGACCAAAATCTAGCCTTGTCCCATATACACACACAAGACTCCCCAACCTTGCCTTTGATAATTATGTTATTATTTTCCAACCAAAACATCACCAGCACACTGCGTCTCCACAAAATATTTGCCTTCTCGACAAAACCTTTCCCTTCTAACCATCCAACTCCATGGGCATTTGAAGGTCAAACAAGAATATAATACTATGTCTTTGGCTTGCATTTAAGTTGTACGTCATCAAACCTGAACCTTCAACACCAACTTTGGACTAACCATTGCCAGGTCCAAGTAACCGATCATTATCGTATTCAACCATAATTTATAATTAGTACTAAGACATTCAAAGATAAAAGAACATGTTAGGTGTTGACATGCCACAAAGAAAAAACAATTGCATTCCCTTTCTGGAGAAAAAATGCCTCAACATTAAACCACTTTAACCTAGCAAGATCATTATAAATACCTTATCCTGACTGTACATCCTGATATCTTTAACAATGAAGATCAAGTCAAATCTAGAAAGAATCGTTGTCTGCAAATCTATGTTATCCTGTGCAGTCTGAAAGAAGGCAAATGTGTAAATTAATTCTCAATAGGAAGTCACAAGTTGCATTTTAAACTCTTAAAAGAGATAAACCAGGATGATAATGGACCTTAAGATCATCATAACGTCCAGATGGAGGGTTAGCAGCTGCAAGCACAGAGGTTCTAGAATTAAGAACAGTTGTTATTCCTGCTTTGGCAATGGATATGGTTTGCTGCTCCATGGCTTCATGAATAGCAACCCTAAGCCACATTAATGTAAGCTCTTAGAATTCCATATATAAAAAAAGTGAAGCACATCAAGATCTATATCTAGTCTGCATTACCTATCCTCCGATCTCATTTTGTCAAACTCATCAATGCAGACAACACCCCCATCTGCCAAAACCATGGCTCCTCCTTCAAGATAGAACTCACGCTGGGTTGCACAGATAAATTGAAATTAGAGAAGTTTTCATACCAAAGGAAAAAGGACAACTGCCTAATCAATAAGATAACAATGGCACTTATATGTACAACCCAAAGAAGATCGAAACTTACAGAACTGCTATCCCTGATCACCGAAGCTGTAAGACCAGCAGCTGATGACCCTTTTCCTGAAGTATACACAGCTATAGGAGCTGTCTTCTCGACAAACTTGAGAAACTTCACAAATGAGTTGAAATCAAATCAGCATGTGTCATTTGGGGCAATGGAAGAAGAGCATAAACTATCTTCATTAAATTTTCATGTGGCTAGGAAAAACAGGTCTCAAATTAGCTAGAGATACTTTTCCACTAAAATGAAGGATAAGAGAAGATCAGAAAGTTCACAGTGTTCTCTAGGACTTGTATATTTATTTCCACTTAGCTTGTGGAAAAATAAAATAAATTTAACAGAACCAACCTGTGATTTAGCAGTAGATGGATCCCCCAAAAGTAAGACATTGATATCACCTCTTAGCTTCACACCATCAGGCAAATTCTGTTTACAGACAAATTCGTCGGTTGGTTGTTACCATTGGTAAATCACACAAGTACTAAAAGACCAAAATTCAGGATATACCTTTCTAGATCCCCCAAACATAAGACAAGCCACGGCCTTCTTTACGTCATCATGACCAAATATAGAGGGAGCAATCTTTGAGCATATACTTGTATAGACATCAGGTTCTGCAGCAAACTTTTTGAATTCTTCTATCTGAAAACATATGAAAAATGGAAAGACAAAACCATGCCATGGAATCAAATCCTTCATTTATCAGGGACATTGTGCTCTTCAAACATCACAATGAGTTCGACCAATACCTCTTCTTGTGTAAAAGAAGCGGGACCTCGAGAGTTGGCATCATTTGCTTCTTCTATTCCTACCACTCTGATGTAAGGCTGCCTAACAGCAACTGCTCCTTTGTGGCTATATAGAACCAAATAAATTGAGCATTAAAAATTAGCAGTGAAGAGTACTATACAAAGACACTGAAATATTCATCTCAAGTTATAACAATTCTCACGATGTGGAAGAATTGGAAGCTTGATAGATGCTATAAATGCCCATGATGGTTAATCTTGTGCCAGGCACAATTGTCTGAACAAGATGGCGGTCCACAGACAGAAGTATATTTCTCGGAAGCTCTCCAGTAGGTACATCCTTCAGTAACCAAGGAAAAAAAAATCATTAATTAAATTAAGACCCCGCAATTCAATTTAAACTTCTTTTGCTCATTAAATTAAGATCATCACCTCTGGGTTCTCTTGCAATTTTAAGGTTTGCTGATCAACATACTTGCTCTTGTCAGGAACCACAACCCATGGATCAAGGGGACAAGGTTCTTCTCCAGGCTAAGAAAATTCCAACCCTTTTATTAAATTTCAAACTAGAAAAGAAAACAATGCAAAACAAAAAAAACCAGAAAAGCAGGAAGAAATAAACAAGGATAATAAACCTGAGGAATATGGTTACAAGAGCGAGGGACAATTGCCCCACCAAGGCCTGGCCGACAAGGTACTCTCTGCACATTTTTACAGTTTTTACACATCACAATCACATAAGTCGCCTTTGCCTTGACCCTTGAAGCAGCTATAGTGATCCCGGCAACCTTGACAAGTTTCGATATACATTGTGCCTGCACATCAGCAATGGTTAAAGAAAAAAGAGAGAAATCATCACCTAACCTCAATAAATCCCTACAAAAGCTCAAATTCTCATTCCCCGTAGTCGAAAGAAAATAAGTTTTTATCTTCAACATTCTGATTAAACAAGGATTGATTAGTTCTAAACTTTCATTTTCCCTAGTCTTCCCAAACTTTCTCATCAACCAAACAGAAAACACAAAAAGCCAATCAAACAACAAGGAAGAAAATTCAAACCCCAAGCCGGCGCATTGAAGCTGGGTCTTCTTTGGAGGTCAGCAAAATCTGAACATCCTCAGGCACCCGTTCCTCCAATTGCCCTTCGTTTCCGGGCACTTTCGTCTTCAAATTCGCCAAAACCTGACCCGCTGCGTTCTCAAACTACAAAATCACACGAAAGGAAAAAAAAAAGGGAAATTGAAAAAACGAAACAAAAATAAATCAAACAAAAAGGGGCTAATCAGCTGAGATTGGTTCGGTTTGGTAACCAGAGGCAAGTAATCAGCGGGAGAATTGCGGAGCTTTGCAACGAGGTCGGCATCGAAGGCGTCGAGGTCTTCAATGTCGACAAGCAGGTATTTAGGGTTGTGAAGGAGGCTCTCTCTGTACGAAAACACATTCTTCTGGGTCTCGAAGCTGCGTATGAATTCCTTGAATTTCTGCAGAGCCGAGTGGCGGGTGGCGGCTGTCTCATTGCTTCCGGGGTCTCCGCTGTCGCCGCCGAGCGACTGCGCTTGGTCGCTGTAGTAGATCGCTCCTTCGTCCCACCCTGACATATCTCTGCTCTTCTTTCAGCTCTCAACAATGTAAACTTCCACTTTCTCTGTCTAAATGCAGTATGTATCGCCTTTAGGGCAATGGAGGGATGGAGTATCTTTTTGGCGGGAAGGATTGGCGGGAAATTTGTGGTGGGGTGAGTTGGCAGTAGCACGTGACTTTTATAATACCCGTCGGATCAAGATATATGACTGTTAAAATGACTGTAGACAGGGTGTAATATTTTGGCGAAGTCAAAATAATGTTGTGTAGTTCTATGATTCGTAATTCGTGTCATACGTTCCAATTAAGTTTTGCTACATATTTTTATTGTTGTATTGTTCACAAAAATTGAATAAATAAATAAATGCCAGTTTAATTATGAGCTTGATTAGGCAGTAATTATCTTGTACATTGGTTCTGCTGGGATATTTATAGGAGTCCTTTGCCTTCCGCACACAATGAGTCTCTACAGTAATAATCACTCATAATTAGCATACGTGTATGCATGTAGATATGAATATATGTTTGTACAAATGTTCTCTTGTCGAGTGTATGGAAACGTTCTATATATATGAAAATGTGGTATATGTATGAAAATGTTCTCGCTATATATGTATGAAAATGTTCTCTTGCCAAACACTGTGGCTCGTTGTGTTGTCACGTTGTCAATCTGAATCATTAATTTCACATAATTAATGATTAAGATTGACAATTTGACAACATAACGTGCCATATTGATTGGCAGAAGAACATTTTCACATATGCATATATAGACGCACACATGCACTTTTTCTAGAATCAGGCATCTATCTTCGTGTTCAGCACACAACTCACAATCATCAACAAAAACAAAAATTGTTCTCTGGGTTCCAGTCTCCAGGGCAAAAGATTGTGACCATTTTAGTCACTACTACTTATGTACCCTCCGTTTCTCAAGTACCAAAGTGCCCCTTCTGCTGCATGCTCTGCTGCTGCCTTCTTGTTCCCATGAGGTGATCCAAAACACTCTAATATCATATTTGGAGCTTCTTCTATCTTTACTACAACCTTGAAGGTGAACCTGTAAAGGGTTTGAATTGAGTGTATAAGAAAACAGTATAGAAGTTAACTGCAAATTTTTCACTTGAAAAAAGATCTTACTACCAGTAACAACCCTAAACCCGAAAATACACACACCTTAGTATTATCGCTATAATATGATAGACTTACAATTTTAAGTGGCTTGGTCCTTCTTCATTGCAGCATTCAAACAAAGGCGGTTCCCAATAGTTAGCAGCACAGATTTCATACAAACGAGCTCTTGCTGTTGCTTCGTGTGACCCACCTGGAAGATTTTCTGAGAGTAAGAAAATTTGAGAAATACTCCATACTTGATACCCTGCTAATACAAGAAACATTAACAGTACCTCTGGCTTGTGAGTTAGCATCACAGCTGGGATTTCCCCTGGTCTCACTTGGTTGTATTTTGACTGCTTCAAATGAAGGTGGGGGTTGCAGTACAGGTTTAATGCAGGAGGAGTCACCATTTCTTTCTTCTTTGATATGCATTTTGGAATTAAAATTTCTGCGGCTAGGTTCTTGTACATTTAATTTGTCAAATCCAATCACATCAGGAAGCACAACATCTATTGGTGTCTCGTCATATCCGATAAGTTTAGCTTCCATCTCATTGCTTGACTTTAAGACTTCCTCCAAAGATTTTGTCTTGGGTATATTTCCTTGAGCCTGCAATTCCAATAAATGAGTCCCAAAATTAGAAGTTAATCACATCAAATCTAAGTGAAATAAGTATTGTATCCCCCCAAAAAAGGGAGATTGTCTGCTTATCCTAGTATCGTAAGTCACAATGTTCAATATAAAAGGTCATACTTATGTGTATTTAAAACGTACTATATATTATAAATAAGGTATTGGGACAATCGATGAGGCAGTCCTTTATGTTTATGGCTTCGTCTCAGAACTTAACAGTTCTAGCAAAAGAAAGTATCTTCAGAGACAAAACAGCAGGTCTAAACAAGATAATCACTATAAAAATAAAAATCAAAGGCGTCCCAAATCACAAAAGGAAGCCAATAATGAGGTACCATCAAAGATGGAGCAGTACATCAAAACGTTGGTGCAATAAGATGAAAACAATTTCATTATGTGAAATTTCTGCTTGCTCATTATGTGCATGATAAAAGTGGGGTAATATTTTCGAACCCAAACTCAGATGGCCCTATGCAAATAGAAGGCATCCCTCATAACATGGGTGGGCTGGAACCAAGGTGAGCCACCTGGGTCCGTCTCTTGGTTAGACACAATATAATCAATGTAGAATGAAGAACACAAAGCATACAGTTTTACCTTCAACTTGGCGAAAATCAGTTTTGCACAAATTCTAATAGCATCCTTTTTGTTCAAGCCAGTTGAGGAAGCAGTTGCACAAACATTATTCCCCTCCACTGTTGCCTGAATTGAATATGTTTTACCCTTCTTTGATGGTAAAAACCGAAGATCCCATGTATGAGCCTGGCAAAGTTCCCGTAGTTCCCTAATAGGACTAAGCTGCAAGCTGGAAAAGCTCATGATTGGTTTCAGAAAGGATAACATTATCTCCCAAACACGATTCAAATTGAACCCTGTATCAAGAAGAATTGCACCCAGACAGGACTCCACCAAGTCGCCCAGAGCCTGAAGCATTAATTTTAATCATTAAAGATTCAGATGAAGAATTATTACTAATTCAAAGGCATGCTTCAATTCATCTAAACAAAGGAGAAAAAAAATCCAGAGGTATGCTTCTTCCCGCCACTCAAAATGAAAGGATATAAACAACTTTATTTACAAAGTTTCCTGTTAGTAGACCATACTATATGAAAGAGGATGGCACTGGAAAAAAATAAATAAATTATATTTTCCAAGCATGACACTTTAATGTTGATGGTGTACATTTTATGACTCCATGTTATTGATTGCATATACAGGAAATATCACCTAAAAATAAAAAATGCATTGGATGGAAGTTTTCCTTTTTAATTATTGTAATAGACTTGGCATGGCATGGGTTTACTTCTGAAAATTAGTAACATGGAAGTCTGAATGCATACCTTTGGACATTTTGGCCCATCAAGAAGACCCCTTTCTGATGCAGGGGTGTCAATGAAGTCCACATAAACTTTTATAGCCTCTGAAAGGCTACTGGAATCACAGATTAGAAATTTGTGGAAGGACCGATCTACTGCAACATTAGCAAAGGCTTTATTATTCACAGATACTGATCTCAAATCTGTCAATTGACCAGGCTTCAACTTTGGATAAACTGAATACAGGTATGAGGTGATCAAGTAATCCAAGACGGCATCTCCAAGAAACTCCAATCTCTGATCAAAACCATCAATGCAAAGCAGATTGAAGCGGGCATAATATGAATTGTTACAAGTGCAGGCTAGTATGACAAGGTTATTAAGCAGATAGGAAAATGTTTATGTTCCACAACCACAACTGAAGCAAAAATGACTATAGAGGGCATACCTGATAGCAGCCTCCTCCATGCTTGTTGTAAGAAGGATGTACAAATGCCTGTAAGAGCAAACCTTTGTGGACAAACTGATACCCTAATGAATTTTCAAGGGCAGCAATGTCCATGCAAGCAGATAGTGGGATGTATCTAGTGCTTGCTATGCATACTTCGGTAACTTGTGATGGTTCAAAGTCTACTTGTATGCCAATCCATCTAAGAAATGCAGTTGCAGCTTTAAAGCCACTGTCAACTACGAATGCTCCAATAAGGGATTCAACAACATCAGCAATGGTTTTCTTATACAACCAATGGTGACCCTTACTACATCTGACCTCACTAGAATTTGTGTGATTTACACTACATAAACCTTGAGAATCAATAGCTCCTATTGTCTCCTTCCCACAAATTCTTGGGCAAGGACGGCCTAAAGCAAAGAACTGAGAGGGTTCAAATGACTGATCCCGTATGTATACCTGAAAAAAAGAGCAATGCACTATAATTGAAGAAAAATAAAAAACCCTTAAATGCAAAAAGTGCTTTGTTTTTCACTGAATGATCTCAATGTGAGTGTAGAACATTTAGCATAGGTAAGAGGAAGCAAATTTGCCAAAGATTTTTCAAATTAAACAAGTTGGGAGGTCCCTGAACCAGAGAGAGGACAGCATTAGGCAGAAATAAAACACTTCCATGTCAAACTCCTTTATTTGTACAGATGATCATTACTTCCACAGAATAGTCCTAACAATTTAATTCACGTATTTATTTCTTAAGCACTTCGGAGATAGCATGTTTGTCACCTATCATCCCGGTTGGAATGAGACCATGAGCATTAGCATCAAAGGGTTGATTTTATTTGTAGTTATCAATTTCAGACCCCATATAGAAACATTCAAAGATCACTAATTGTTAAAAAATCGCTAAAAGATAATTAGAAATTAAAGTATAAAGTAATTACAGAATATCAAGCAGAGGCAGAAGCATACAAAACCAAAAATATTTTGCAAATTAAAAAGATCATAGATAAACGAAATTTAGAAAATAAGAATCATTTCCAAAAATAAAATAAAATAAAATCATACCTGCAAGTTGCTTCTTGTGGCTAGCTTGAATAAATTGGAATTGTTTACCACATTAGAACGTTTCCTTGTTAGTCCACCTTCATCAAGGGAATTGTGCAAAAGGAAAAAGTGTCGTCCAACTGCAAACTTGAGGAAAGCATCACCAAGTATTTCAAGCCTTTCAAGGGAAAATCGCTCCTGGCACTTCTCCGTTGTGAGTGCTTCTAGAACCTTGTATGAAGATTCAACGCCGCAGGATTCAGATTAGTCATTTGAAGATTTGGGTAGTGCAATGGCCAAATTAGACCAATAAAGTATTTATCAAAGCCTTAACTCCAAATAATATTACAGAGAAAGGCCTTACTCTCTCAGCAGTAACCTCAGCTCCCTCCGGGAAAGAAACAGATAATACATGCTTCAGTTCGATGGCAACAAGCAAGTTTTCTAGACGGTGCATGATTGATGGTAACAAAGATATTGAACTCCCGATATCTTTTGAAAAGCCTAATACCTTCAACTCGCAAAGCTCAGGAGGCAAGTCAATAAAATACTCATCTAGTTGTTGAGGTCCTGTTTTGATAACATTAAAAACTTCAATATTATTACTTAAGTGGAAAACACTCACAAACACAAACAAATGCAATAAACATTCAGATGAGTCCAAAGTCAAACAAAAGGCCATTCATTATAATTGATATTCTCATGGGAAAGGAAAAAGGGAAGGAATAAAATTAGGAACCTAAGCTGGAATGAAAGTACTTCAGCCTATTGAAGTTGAAGATTATAATCATATATGCGTTTCTTGTAAGCACATAAATATCTTCATTCTATGATGCACATTAGTATTTAGTAATACTCAATTCACAGCAAGGCCATATTTCTTCACAAACAACATAAATTACATACTGAATCACTTTCCACTCTTTCTTTTTGGAAATTCTGTTACTGTTCTATAGATAACCATAGTTTTTTCTCCTCTAACATTAAAAAACACAACTTTACTGCATCATTCAGCATAACATGTATACGCATGAGAATATGTATGCATGTATAGATGTAAGTATGTATGCATGATTAGTATGACAAAAATGAAGCAATCTACAAGGCAACACTTCAAATTACCTGAATCTTCTTGCTTTCGGTTGTGTAGCAAATTGTGCAAACAGAAAAGTGGTTTGGCATGCAGAAGCTGTTGCTCAGGGTATTTAAGATGAATGTGAAACCTGTTTGGAACATTTAAGCAAAATTCCCATGATTAATAAATGAGAAGTAAAATCTGTAAAAAGTATAGCGCATTAACGTAAGATGGATGCCAAAATTCATGTATAAAATCCCTTCAAATTCTTTCCAATAACCAGAAATATATGGAACAAGGTAATATAACATTGCTCAGAATGAATTCATGCTGACATTAATGGATTCAAGGGGACAGAAAATCAGTTACCTACTTTTTAATTAAATGATCCACATAGCTTAAAGTGCCTGAGTCTTTATATGGGCTGTAGGCATTCCTTTCTTGAACAACATCAGTGATGAAATAAAATGTACTCTTATATGGGGCATAGACTAAACTATTCTTAACATCACTTATGCTTTTGAAACCTGATGCAAGTCGTATATCCGAAGGATGACTTTTCCTGCCCAAAGCATCTCCTGGAGCCCTGAAAACTGGAGATGATAAACATTTTTTGATAGTCCTCCAATCTATGCTTGCTATCTTATAATTGTTACCCAAAATTACAGGAAGCAACAGGTAGAATGTAGATGAGCTTGATCGACTAAAATCATGCTTTCCCAATGGAACAAACTCAGAAACAAATTCTGTCCGGTCAAGAACAAGCTTGAGGAACATTTCTTGAAAATTTTGTGCCAGCAATATCTGCAAAAAAGAAATTCAGAATGGTGAGAGAGAGACAAAAGCAAAAATATTATTTTTCTGAAAGTAACTGTCTACCTCATCTTTGCCAAATTCTGCAAATCCAGATGGGACTAACTCAGTCATAACAGATCTACTATGAGCCAGATGAAGATCAAGTTCCATTGTTTCAGCTTCTACTGGTAGGGGTGCCTTGACAAATAGACAGAAGCTTTTATAGATCCTATCCTCAGGAACAGGGTTAAATTTTAGATAATACGAGCTGAGGGAAACATGATCCTCCAAATTACTCCATGGCTCTTTTAGAGCAGCAGGAACTAGCATTTCATGCAGTTCTGCTCGTGAATCCTCATCTGGCATAAATGGAGACAAAGGGAATTGAATTAAAAATAATAATAAAAGAAACCTGTGAGAATGTGAAGGTGAAAATGTCCCACATTCTCACAAAACAAAAGTCTTAAAAGTGAGTTGACGTTCAACCTTCGGTACTGTCAGAATCAGAAGAGTCTAGCATCAACTCCTCCACATTTGGATTGCTTTGCTGTGGTAAGAGATAGTCACTTAAGGCACCCAATTTATGCAATTCTTCAATGGCTTTTAGACAAGCATCCTTTTTGGCATCTTCCATTGAAGATTGTTGTGTACTGACAATTTGATGAATTGGAGCATTGGAAGGTAAAATTATATGACAAACAGTTCCCCCTAAATCATCAAGAAAAAAGAATTTTGGATTGGGGTCAAAGTACCTGCAACAAGAAATACATCTCAACTCAAATTTATAATTATACAAGTTTTACACAGCTTTTCAAGTGAATGAAGTCATAGCCTATTTAGGAAATGGACAAAAGCAAATAAAAGGGACCAATTCAGCAACGAGGGCATACTCATCACGTGGAAGCTTTGAGCAATACTGGTGTAATAACGAGATGCTATATCCAGAACTGATGGAAGCACCAGATGAATCGACTTTATAAATCCTATCCTCTGAACCAATAAATGTCTCGCTGGATGTTCTGATAGCAATTTCCATGTTCATTTTATCTTCATCTTTTCTGAACTTTTCTATTAAATCTAACTCCTTCTGGTTGCCACTGCAACATAAAAAATAACAGTTACTCTGACTTAGAAAGGAAAAGGAACGAAAAGAATGGGCTAACATAAAACATACGCTTTAGAAAAGCACCTGTTTACCAAAAATGCATATTCAGATTGAGGCATCCGTGCACGACCTCGTGATTGTATAAAGCTAGCAACAGTTTCTGGAAGATCAAATCGTATCACAAGGCAGCAAGTCTGAATATCTAGTCCTTCTTCACCAACTTTAGTTGCAATCAATAGATTCAACTGTCAAATCAACAAACTAAAGGAATTAGATCCAGTCTCAGTCTGCAGAGGATCATATTATGTATATATAATTTATGGTTAACATAAAAATATTAACCATTACCTCTCCAGATCGGAACTTATCAAGAATGATGTTCATCTTCTTCCTTGACATACTCATCAATCTAGAGTGGACTCCTACAAGGAAATCACACTTCCAAGATGCAAGAAACTTTAGGCGTTGTAGTATGTATGACAAGGAACTCGCAGTAACAATCCTATTTACAAAAATTATGCATTTCATATTTTGTTGCAACCTGAAAAAAGGAAAAAATATATTTTAATTAAAAAGTTACTAACTACCACACATATGGTCAAGGATTTAAGGCAACGGAAGATTAGAGTACAAGAATAAGAGTAGATGTCTTAGTGAGCACGAAACCAATGACAAGGAAAAAATATATTTTAATTAAAAAGTTACTAACTACCACACATATGGTCAAGGATTTAAGGCAACGGAAGATTAGAGTAAGAGTAGATGTCTTAGTGAGCACGAAACCAATGATAAATAGTATGATATTTAGGGTCAGATGAAAAGTGATGACTGCATTCAGATTTTCCATGGTGCCATGCTTAAGTTTTTTGGGATTCTCAAAACCTTGGTATCAACCGCATGCTTCTCAGAAACTGCTTAAATGTTTCATTATCTTTCATGTGAAAGTCACAATGACAGAATTGTCATAGAAGACACAGATGCTATCATAAATACCAACCTGAAGGATGAAAGAATTCCAATCAGACGTAAGAGCTTTCTTGAGAAAAATGGTTCCTTTAAAATCTCTACACAAGATAGATCAGCTGCAATGGCATCTATAGGAACGAAGAAAATAAAATTTCATTGTTAATATTACTATAAAAAAAATGTTGTTTCACAAATCAAACGTTGTTTCATTAATGATTATCGATCAAAATATAAAATGAAGTACAGTGAAAGTAGTGATCCACAGATAATTAGAACCACACAATACAATTGTATAAGGTTACACACTAGATTACCTCTCAAACAGTCAGTAGCAAGGATATCGTCAGCCTGAGTCAGATAATTAACACATACAGTATCATCACCATTATTTCCTTCCTCCTCCATTAGTTCATTCCGTTCAAAGTGGTCGCCATTCAGAAGAATATGACTAGCCTTCAAAAGGGAAACAAAAAAAGAAGGAAAGAGAATATAATTTTAAAATATTAAAAAATACAAAAAAATCTATTAAGAAAATACCAAATACAGTATTACTAATAAATATTCTCCTTTCTTGTGAGTAAAACTGACAGGAAGGAAAAAATAATTAGAGAAACCAATAAAAACATTATATTTAAGTTCCTTACTTTCAATGCTCCCCAAAGGCCAAGACTTTCCAAGCAAAATAGTATACTATCATGCATTCTGTTCAACAGTTTCTTTGCACTTCTTAGACTTTGGTAGTCATTCGTCTTCTTACTAAGTTCTTCTATACACTGTCAATGACAAAGCAAGAACCACGATAGAAAACAAAAACTTTGTGAACAAGTAAAAGTCAGTCTAGAACCAAAATAAATGTCAAAACAACATACCTGCCGTTTGATCTGCTCAAGCTTAGTACAATAAGAGGTATAGTGACTGGACGTGTTCCTTATAACAGGACCATAATCGTACACCATGATAACAGGAGAAGAGACAAAATAATCTAATTCTTCCTTATCTTCAACTGTATAAACCTACAAAATAAGGGCGAAGTTATGGATTAGCTATGAGAATCACAAGCACCAGAATCGTAACAGCAATAGTGCATGCCCAGCCACTGAAGAAAGCCAGCCCAAAGAGAATTTGGTTCCAAACTAATGAGCCACTTCTAGGGCATGTCTTGATATTTTGATCAGTCAATTATGCTATCCGTGATACTCAGTTATAAAAGCATTGGAATATGTACTGATGGAGAGACATTTAACTAAGAAATTTTAGTGCTATAGAGATTCTTTCATATTAACAGGCCAGTGCTTCCATTCTCTTGAACCTTTAGTCCAAAAAGGCTAAGCAGTTTTCAAAATGTTTACTGCTAATATTTTGTGACTTAAGGCATAGAATTCCCGATGTAGGATTCTATACTCTCAACAAGCTATAAAGAGAGTCATTGTTAACAAACTAGAGCTTAAAACCTGAATAGAAAGCCTTGGCATGGCAAGGATCATAATCAAGACCTTGTAAATATGTCAAACAAGAATACAGCCGTATGTTCCACAGGTCCTTGTAAACTAGATGGGTACTCCGGAGACACTATTTCTAGAATTACTTCAAAGAAAATAAAAGACAAGGATTCTAACCCATAAATATCTCAAATTTAAAAATTTCCACAACCCACCTTAGCATCAAGTAAACTTTCAAGACTATTGATGCTTTTTGATAAATTTGCTTGACTCGAAGCACCTGAAAGAGTAAACATGCATGTAAATATTGGGAAATTAAAAGACAAGTCTCACTCAAAAAAAAAAAAATCATTAGCATTCTAAAAATGATCAACAATGACTAGAAAACACACAAAATAAAGGATAATCATCAACCAGCAAGGCAGGAATCCAGGAGGTATGCCATAGAACAAGAAAATCAGTATAATAAAATACCATCTCCTTATAGATTCCTGGATGAAGCTTCTATTAGATCTTTCAACAACCTTTACTTCATTTGTTTGTGTATATCTAGCTATATTTGGACACAAAAGCAGCAAATGGACCGTAAAACAACAGTAAACCTCTTCCCCTCCCAATCCTAATGATGGGTGAAATGGACAAACCAAAAGATTTTAGCAGCTGCCTAGCTTATAATCATCTCCCAGCTGTAATGTTTACCTCTGGATTCATTGCTTGAGGAATTTAATCAAATTCTTATAAAAAATTAAATTATAAACTCGTTAAATTAAATTTTTACAGAATATATACCCACATTGAATCATCCAAGAATGTAAGTACTACCATTTCCCAGGAGATGATTTAAATACTTCATAACAGTATATAAACCAATAAAAAAGAAGTTTATTTGTACGAACCCATGCTATATTAAAGAAGTATACAAAAATGTTTCCAATTTCCTTTAATGATAGAAGGGACTCTAACCACCTCTTTGAAGTTCCTATATGGCATGGCATCTGGTTTAAGACAAAGATACTTCAGTTCCACACAAGTTAGGGTATGAATGACATGTAATCTCACCGGAACACTTGTAGCCGGCACGTAAGGATGTTACAATTATTTATGCCTGATAAATTCTAAATTGATATGATGACAGAACTGACCATTGTGATCAGCATGGGGTAAACGTTCATAGGGTACAACATTTATAACTTTGAACGAAAATTACCTTTCCCTACAACTGGAGACGCAGTCATGCCAAATATACGGGGAAGTTTGGTGTCATCAGTTTTGTAGAACAACTGTGGACAAAATTTGTTAAGGTACCACATGTCAACAAATCAAACTAAGTCTCATAAAATGCAGATTAGGATTTGTGTTGTACAGGTAGTGGAAGTGTTTGAGAACTCTTTACTTTCATAATTTCTGCATAGGGATGGTTGCTTTGGACTTGAGCGTGATGACACTCATCAAAAATCAACAATGCAATTGACTCCATCTTAATGAAACAGTGATATAAGTTACGTAGCAGTATTTCAGGGGTCATAACAAGAACCTGCACAAAGAAATCAACACAAATGAAAATATAATTCTAATTGATCGAGAATTGTGAGAGCTGTATCAAAACTGGTAGAAAGAAGAATTATAAATAGTTTTCACAAAGCTAGAAAATTCTATACATTCTAAACAATGCAGAAATTTTAGAAAATTCTAATTGCTTAAAGTAAATTCCACTTGGTAACTTGATAGGAAGCGGATGATATCTCACTCATCTTGGCCTTCTCTAAGTTGATCTAATAGCACTAATATCTGAAAGGAAAAGATGTAGTAGTATACATATATCTGGCCATGTGAGTGTGGAATTACAGACACATGCAACATCAACTTTAAATCTATTAGAGGGTGAAAAATTCCTTGTGTGAGGAAAATATAAATAATTATAAATTTTCAGATCAATCAACTAACATTATTACCTCATATTGTTCCATCTCTTTCTCCCAATCTCGATGATTCTTAAATTGGTTAGAGCTTCCACAATAGATCCCAACCTTGAAATCAAGGGAATCTTCTATAACTCTGGCTTGCTGCAATTTTTTAATAAATGAATAAACCATGTAGTGATGGAAATCAAAATGTACATGTTTTCTCACTAACATTGTAATTTCTACCAAGAAAAATAAGGGTATATCAAAAGATTCATACAAATGTAAACTTGTTAATCTGTGCCAGGCCTTGATTGAATCACCATACAGAAATAGCATTATTAGCATTAAGAAGTCATGGGAAGATAATAGCAAGAACATACAGTTTAGATTGGAAGGACTCACACAAGTATTTTTGTGCGTGTCTAATATAATAAAAATCAAATACTTTTTCATTGCGAGGTATTATTGAATAGTGATGTGGTGAGTTTGACAAAACACACCATGGAACTCTTTACAAAATAGCTTCTTCTGAGTTAGCACGGAACACGACTGTTAAAATCCAAACCCAGTTAGTCCAACTGCTATAAGAGTCAAGTCTCCAGGGCACACCTCTATATTGTTTCGGAATAAACCACTAACCACCAGTTAGCTACAAGTTGCATCTCAAAGACTCAAACTTAAAGGTAACCAAATATTGCAACGAAAAATATATTATCGAGTTGTACAGAATAGAAAGGGTAGAAGAGCATATCACCTGTTGAACCAGAGCCACTGTGGGCGCAAGAAATATGCATTTGTTCTTTTCAGGTTTGCGTATCAAGTGGCCCAACTCGTATATAAGCAAGACCGCTATGTGGGTCTTCCCACAACCAGTCCCTAGATATACAATTATATTCTCCTCTAAAGCTCTCTTGCATAGCTCCAATTGATACCTTTAAAATGAAAAATTAGAAGAACTATAATTAGAAACAAAAACATATGGGAAAAAAATAATAATAATAAACCTAGAAAACAGCGTCTTGATATTCAAGTTCAAAATCAAACATAAAACCCAGCATTTCATTCATGCTTTCTGATAAGAAGCATTTGGTTTATGTCATTGGTAAAGAAAACTTCTCACAACAAAAAAAACAAAAAACCACATCTTACAGAAACACGAGTGATAAGTCTAATGGGAGCATTACTTTTCCGTAACTAAAACTCAATATCTCAGATTTTCCTACGTTCACCTTTATTTTCCTCCACATTTCACAAGAGCAAAACAGAGAAAAAGTAATGTGCACACAAATAAATGAAATGAAAGAAAATGCAGGAATAGCGAAAAAAAAGAAAGAAGCAAAATCAAGTTAACAATGTAGTGGAGAGAGGAGCCAATCATACTTTCTGGCGACCTTCCTAGGGTCCTTGTCTGACTTCAGAGCTCCAGCACCCGATTCAACCCGATCATCATCAGCCCCAGAAGAGGCACGCTGATCAGACGGTGAAGAAGTAGAACCAGCGTCGTCCATGCTACTGGCGGTGAGAGGATCGGCTTCGCAGTTAGGCGTTGAACTTGAGCGTTGGCCGAAGCAGTGCGTGAGGCTCTGAGAGAGTGTTGTTTCTTGTTGCGATCAGGTTGCGTGTGCGCTGTGTGCTTGTGATTCGGTGTGTTCGTACTTCGTAGCGTAGGCAACCTCTGCTGCTGCTGCTGCTTGCGAAGGGCGTTGGTTTGGTTGCCTCTACTTTTCTTTTCTTTTTTTTTCGGTTACAAGGAGACCTTTACTTTTCATTTTTGCCTTGACTAAGCACAACTTTGAGTGGGTCCGGGTCTGCACTGCACTCTGGATTATGATTTTTTGTATTAGAGAGCTGACTAATTGACTTGCTAAGTCTAATCGTATCACTCTCCTCCCGGGTTTTCTTGCATTTTCAAAATTGCTTGTGATAAGATCCTATAAATAATCAAGTGAAGAACAAATGCTTTGCCTTAAGCATAGAAATTCTTTTGCATACTACTAGGGTAAAGAATGTATCTTTTTGTAATAACAAATGCTTGCCTTGGCATAGAAATTCTTTTGCATACTATAAGGGTAAAGAATATATCGTTTACAACCTAATTAGCAAGTGACACGATAAATGTTAACACATGAGAGGACGAATGTCAAGTGAAAATAAGGAATCTTTTGTAATAATTGATCACCTAACTTAAATAGCACGTGAAAGGGTGAAGTGTAACTCCTTTGCATACTATAAAAAGTAAAGAATATATCGTTTGTAATAACTGATCACCTAATTAGCACATGATACGATAAATGTTAACACGTTTGAGGACAAATGCGAAGTGAAAATAAGGTATCTTTTGTATATATTGATCACCTAAACATCAACCAACACGTGAGAAAAAAAGCCGAGTCGTAGACCTGAACGGATTTGACTCTCCCCAGGGGGTGTTTTTCACAAGGTGGGATTCGAACGCTGGACCTCACTGAAGCCAGCTAACATTCGCCCACTTGCAGGCCTAGCCAGGATATCCACTAGACCAAACCCAAGTAAAGAATATATCGTTTGTAATAACTGATCACCTAATTAGCACATGACACGATAAATGTTAACACGTTTGAGGACAAATGTGAAGTGAAAATAAGGTATCTTTTGTATATATTGATCACCTAAACATCAACCAACACGTGAGAAAAAAAGGTATATATAATAATTCATCACACTTAACTTACATGACGTACATTTATCATCTCATATGATAGCGTACTTGATATTGTTTTATTGTAAGTTGTAACTTGATATCGTAATTTTTATTAATTTGTAATGCAATTTCATAATAGTTTGATAACATGACCAACACGTATGAGAGTGAATGAATAATAAGGACATCGTATATATTCTTTATTTTTTGTCAAGGACATCGTATATATTCATGTTAGTCGTTAATTTAACATATGCACCTAATTTGCATCATTATTTTCTTCCATTGACACCAAAATATACATGATGTTAATTATGGATTATAAATCTATATTGATGATTGATGTTACATATCACAATATATATATGTATTCCAAAAGTCATGTGTGAAAGAAGTCCATGCAATTTCTTAGCCATTGACATATAACCTTGAAAAGATAAATACTTTTAAATTAAAAACTAGTTTGATCATGATGAATAATTTAAAATGACTTGATGGTCGCTCCAAATTCCAACGACTTTGCAAATTATCTCAGTTATTTTTCTTTAGTTGGGTCGGGTACTAGTTTGGGCTTGGGTCTGGGCTTTGCTTTGACTAGTGACGCTTTCCATGGGCTAGCATTTACCATGTTGCCTCCTGCTTTTGGGCTGTTATGGATTAAACATTTTGCCGGCAAACAAGGTTTTGCTTCAGCAACAGAGCATCATGAGCGTGCCCACAGCCACACCCACAGTTGCCTTCACCACCCCTCCAAACTACGCCGCCAGGCTGGCCCGCCTCCTCGCCCTCAAAGGCTTCAACCCCATCTCCTCTCCCACGCTCATCGTCCAGTCCACCCCATCCACCATCTCCGCTCTCAAACCCTACCTCTCGCCACCCCCTTCCCTCGACCTCTTCTCCGCCATCGCCTTCCCTTCACGCACCGCAATCACCTCCCTTTCCGCCGCCGCCGCCGACATCAATCACCCTCTCCTGTCGCCGCACGGCGATGCATTCATTATCGCTGCGCTGGGCAAGGAGCCTTCCCTTGCGGCTGCGATGGAATTCTCAAGTTGCTCATCCCTTCGACCTTCGCCGGTAACTCCAAGGTCGTGGTGGGACTGGTTGAGCCTCATGTGGTCCCGGATTTTCTCAGAGATTTGGAGTCCAAGCGTTGGGTTCCAGTTAGGGTTAATGCGTACGAGACGCGGTGGGCCGGACCGGGGTGCGCTAAGCAAGTGGTGGAGAGGATTGAGGAGGGAGCGTTGGATGCGATGGTGTTCACGAGCACTGCGGAGGTGGAGGGCTTACTGAAGAGCTTCAAGGAGTTTGGGTTGGATTGGGAGATTGCCAAGAAGAGATGTCCCAAGATGTTGGTTGCGGCCCACGGGCCCATCACGGCGGCTGGGGCCCACATGCTTGGGGTTAGGGTTGATTTGGTGAGCTCTCAATTTGATAGCTTTCAAGGCGTCGTTGATGCTTTACACACTGAGATTTCAAGGCTGAGTTAGATTTGAAGCAAAAGTCTCATGGAAAAAGATTTTGCATGTAACAGTGTAATGGGGGTGTATTGAATTGAGATTTTAAAAGACTATTTATGGATAAATAAGTCCAGTGGATTTTAAAAGACTATTTAGGAATGTAATGACTTATAAGATTTTTTTTAAAGATTTTTATAATCAAGATTGTTTACGTTTAGATTTTAAAAGATTTATATCATAAGAATTTATAAGATTTGAAAGGACCACATGGATTTTTTACTTTTATGATGCTAACCAACCAACTTATTAGATGATGAGCAATGGCAAAAGTTCAATAGTTCAACCAAATTATTCAATAACAAAGAAATGATAATTTTAATAAAGAAAAGTAAAACCCAATACAATTTTCCCAATCTTTTAATAGCCAATTTGATGTAGCTTCATTTCTTCGTCATCAATATCTTCTTTCTCCATTTCATTACCTTCATACATGCTCGGTTGTGACATTATACGTATATAAAAAAATATATGAGACTGCAAAACAATAAAAAGAAGAAAATAAAAGCTGTAAAAAAACTAAAAGCTGTCCATGTTTACTAAAAGCTGTCTTTCTCTTTATGTATGTGAAAAAAACTATAATATGTATGTGAAAAAAACTAAAAGCTGTCTTTCTCTTTACTAAAAAAAACTACCAATCTGGAAGGATAAGAATTGAGCAAGAAAATCCCATATAAAGAATAATCACAAGAAACAAATTATCAAGACCAAGAACATTAGGCAGCTAAAAGGAGTCTTAATGGAATACCACAAGACTTGTTTAGATTATTTAAAAGTCTTAATTGAATACCACAAGACTTATTTATCTCAAAATAGTCTTTTAAAATCTCAATTGAATACACCCCCTTAATGTGAAACAACAGCTTCTGTTAACTTAACACCAAGGGCTATGGAAATTGGAAAAACACAACAAACTTATACTATTATTATATTATATTTATATGCCATTATTAATATTAAAATTAATATTATACAGCCAAAAACATTTCTAATGCTTATGATAGAAACAAGCTAGAGAACAACAAATTTACTACAAACAGAAACAGCCCACTCCCTCAGTTAAGTACTTCATCTTGTATATATATATATATATATATCTTTGTTTTTAATTGGTAATATGCATCTAAAATCATAATCCTGCTGCTGCTGCTTCAAAAGTCGGGTTATTTTTCTTGTTGCTTTTCCACTCTGATAAAAGCTTTAAGGTATTCTCCATTGATGGCCGATCAGATGGCCTACTCCTAGTGCAAAGTGTAGCAACCTCGAGTACCAGTTTTATCTCCTCTCGCACTGGAACGTTGGTACCAACTTCATTCTCATTGTAAATTTCTCTCAGAACAACTTCTCTTGACTTGCTCTGTATGCTTGCTCCTGAATTCGTCAACCTGCCATTGCTTAAAATTTCCAGCATGATCTCCCCAAAGCTGTATACATCCCTGTATAGCTCCTCTTTTGTGGCATTATTGGTATCACCTGTTCAAACATTTACAAAGAAAGTTTTCAACAACTGCTTTTGGGTCCAAACAAAAGAAGAAAATGAATAATGATAGAGGCTAATCGCAAAAGAAATCAAGGTGTTCAGATAATTCTCTTTCACAGCTTCTAGATTTGCTAGTCTTCATTGTATCAGGTGACTGACTCTACTTTTATGCACATCACAATCTTTTTTGTTAGGACTTGAGTTCCAGAGGGTTAAATACTTAAGGTTGCTCAGGTATATATATTGTCTACTTTGGTTATGGAACTGGTAATGGAAGGCCTTAAATTATATGTTTGGCATGGCAGGGTAAAACTTTTTGAAGACAACTATCACATAATTGATGATCTCTACTACACGAAAGAACACATTTTGTTATGCATACCTGTATCCCTTTTGGAAGTTGCTGCTGCAAATGAACCTTTGTTCAACTCGAGCAGATGCTTGAACCCGAATTCTGTCAACTGAGGTTCCATATTTTCATCAAACACTATATTACTCGACCTCAAGTCTCCATGAGCAATTGCAGGATAACAGTCATGGTGAAGGAAGCATAATCCCTTTGCGATGCTGATCACAATTTTGTACTTGGCTGCCCATTCCCTTTTCACTCTTATCTTTTCAGCCAAGTTTCCACTGGGGGTGTAATCGTACAAGAGATAAGCCAGATGCTTGTTGTAGCAAAATCCGAGCAATCGAGCTAGATTCTTATGCCTTGCATTCCCTATTTGGGTAATAAATTCCAACATAACTCCCGTTCTCTTTGCTTCCCATTCAATCTTCTTCACTGAAACTGTGATTCCTGTGGGCAGAACTGCTTTGCATGCTGAAGCTGACAATGGAGGCAGCGCATCCATGGATTCTCTAGAACTGAAGCTCATCAATACATCATTTGCTGTGAATTGAGGAAGTCCAGCAAATGAGATCATCTTCCATTGGCTTTTGCTGCCTCTTTGGATATAAATTATCCCCAGAATTGATAGAGTAATGAACATAATTACACCTGCACACAGTAGCATGACCCATATAAGCTTCCCGGCGCCTCTGCTTCCAAATATCGCCACCGAACTCGGA